GGCAATGCAAGAGAATTTGACCCTCATGTCCATCCGAATGAATCAGTCTTTCCCCAGAGGTAAATTTTTGCCACATAAAAGTTTTAGAATCTAAGGTAACATTGTCTGCTTTGGGTTCTCATAATGCTGACACTTAAAATTCATTCAGTAGCACTACATGTTTTCTGCATTAAGAAAAACCATATTATGTTTAGAAACATCCAGGTCGAAAAATTCAACGAGCTGATTTAATACATGCAGCAAAAACTATAATGAAGATGGGATGTACCTTTGGTATGCGCGCCGGATTTCTTGAAGCATATTCACAAAGCTTGCCAATCATTCTGTCATTCGGTTCTCCATCCTGTAATTCCACAAACAAACTTCTGTTAGCAAACAAAATCCTCAAAAATATGAAAAAATGATGCCTATTCCACCTACTCAGAGAAAGAAAAAAATAACATTCTAAGCAAATGAAAGCAAATTGTTTTTATGGTGGTAATGTATCAACAATACAGGTGAGACACAAAGAAAACTTCTTTTGTAACAGGAAAGAGCTTTAGTAGCACTATCTAGCAGAAAAAATTACAAATTACAAATTACAAAAATTCAATACAAGGTTATAGTTGAAAGTTGGAACATGGATCAAGGATACTTCAAATTGAAAGTTGTATTAACCTCCTTTTTTGTGGGATGGAAGATAGAGTCGAATGTCCCAGAAAGCGGACTGTATCATGTAATATCCAGCTATAAGTTATTTATATTCTTGAAAATACTGTGCATCGATCTTCTCCAGACCTGCAATGGCAGGTACCTCTCATATACTTGGCCACCTCTTGATTTCAAAAAAGATAATTTGACCGGAGCCATTGGTTAGCCAAGTAACTGCTCAGAAAGGATGACTCGGCCTGTTATGGATGCAAGAAATGCAACAATGCAACAATCCAATGTCATATTTTATGAATAAGAAGAATGCACTTCACGGCATCATTCCATATCTTGTGAGATGAAAAGGTTGGTACATGCATACTTGTCAGAATAAGTCCTTTCTGTAGTTAATTGTGACACAGGATGAAATTATGCTTAATAGGCTTGGTCGGCCATCAATAAGGAGTTAGCAGAAAAATGTTGTAAGCAATCTAGATGAATTTGATCCTATGGTTCGAGAATAAATTTACTCCTGGCAAGTATTATTTGCTCATTCCACGTGGACACAAATAACCAAGTTCCCGACATCACATTTCAGAGACCTTGAAGCCCAGAAGTAGGATTAAGTAAGTATGAGCAAACAAAAAAGTATTTGACACAGTGAGGCACATCCACAATAGTTTTGAGACGAAGCTTCAACACCAAAAGCCATGAAGGAAAGAACTATACAAGTTTCCTGATTACTGAGAAAACTAACCGGAGAGCGAGGAAAGGCATCCGTGAGGAGTTTCTTGTAGCGTTTAACGGGTTGCCGCGAACGTGTCCGCAAAGAAGGGCAGAAGCAACAGAGGTAGCCGCATGCCGGCAGCACCCGCCTCGACATAACCCCCATTTTCGTCCTCCAAGCAAAATCTACAAACTTGTGTCAAGAAATGGGACAAAATAGCAAAACTTCTTTCGGAAATCTTGTCAGCCAAGGGCTCCTCGATTCAACTTTAGGATTCCCCCAAGAATCTAACCCAATGCCAACGGAACCCCTCTTCAGCACAAGACCGCATTAACCTAAACAGCATTGGAGCTAGAACGAAACCAGATGAATCCTCAGTGTAGTTCAAGAAACCCCGTAGTAGACAATCCTAATTTGATCGGATCCATTTCCCCTAAAAATGGCGATCAGCCTGCGACACAAATTAAGACCCCTCAATCTGAGATAACGGAAGAATAACGCAATATTCTCGGTGAATTCTTTCCAAAAACCGATTCTTTCACGACAAAAGAAACCGAACCGAGATCAAAAGGAGAGATCGAAAAAAAATGATCTCGATTTGACGACTCCAAAGCGGGGCAGACGCTTGAGATCCCCCCCTCGACGCTTCTCTCTATTTGATGCCTAATTGGAGGTATTATTTGCTCCATCTACATGAGTGTAATCGAAAGCAGACTGGCCGAGCCGTTAAAATTAGGTTAAATCGGAAGTTTGAGACAAATATAATATGATGTCAGATGGCTAATAAAGGCCAATAAAATCACCATTTTTATTTTTTTTTTGACAGAGTGACGAGGAAGAAAAGTCTGAAGTTGGAATTCTTTATCTAATTATTTTACTTATTTGTTTCTTATTTTATTATTTTGTAATTGTAGGTTTTTAAATCATTTTAGCATCAATCTTAATGTTCCAATTCAAAATTTTATTTTAGTTTAATTAATAATAAATTTCCCTATCCTTATCAGTAAGATTTTCAAAGCTAAATTATCAATAATTTTTTAAAAGACTATATGTTAATTTTAAAAGAAAATCACTAGTTTATTGTATGATTTGAAAAGAAATTATCATGTATTATGTCATACGATGATTTTAATTTCTTCCTATATATAAACATATTTGATAAGTTAAGATCATGATTTATAATACCGTATCGTATCGTCGGTATATATGGATCCAATAAAAGATCGATATAGATGGTAGCATCGATCGTTGATATATTGGTATGGTATGATATTTAAAACATTAGTCGAGATGTAGTAAATTTATAAAAATATAAAAAGGATTATTATCCTATATAAGATTTATCTCATAGGTATCTCTTTGACTTGTACCTTGTAATTGTTTGTCTTGTTGCAGATCCATTGATGATTCTTGTTTGTCATGACACTATGGGTCAGTGGAGGACTATGCAGGTTGTCTTCATCAGCCAACATCACTGTCATTGAGGGACATATTTCTGCCATGAACACCCCCATGTTTTATCTTGAATAGTGATTAGAGGTGCTAAAACAAGAGTTTTGAGAGAGATTACTTTTTTTGTCCTGGAATTTCCTGTGAGCTTGCAGAAAGGTTGCACTGCATGTTCTCAGTGGGCACAAAAATCCAATTCTTGAAGCCTTTACAGCCATCAGCCTCGGCAGTGACAGAATCCATGGTAGGCCAGGATGCTCCTCCTCAAAAGACACAAGTCATCTGTCACTTGGCTTCCTTGGCTTCTTGCATTCCCTGTACTCAGCTGGCCTTGTCACCTAAATCAAAGACCAAGATGTATCATGGCTTGTGATTCACCTGTCAATCAAGTTCTTTAGCTTCAAGACAGAGGAGCACTTAGAAGAGCAGTTGTGTCATCGAGAGATATTTCTTTTGTTCTGTTTTTGTTTTTTGTTGCCATTTTGGGTTTAAATGTTTGCTAAAGTTGAAGTTATTATTAACAATTACGAGCTCCATGCATCTTTTATGATCACTTGCATTAGTTGAGAATCTGCCGTATGATTGGATGGAAAAAGAAGTATAAGAAAAACCAAGAATTTTGACTCAGAATACTTATTAGTCAACGTAGTTGACTTGGTCATGAGAATATGGCGTTTGAATGATGAAAATAGAAATCCAAATATCAGAAGAACAGTTGCAGAAGAATATATTGCAGAAGAACAGTTATCATTGTAAATCCAAATATCAGGTTTACTTTCATATATATACACATATAAAATTAGGTTCAACATTGCATAGGATTAGAAAAGTTCGGACATTGCTACTCTAGCCTGCACTTGAGTTCATAGCCAATTTGACATTTCCTATTGTAATAGCTTTCTCCAGGTTTTGAGCCACATCAATGTGTTCCTTGTATATGGTGCTGTGATATATTGGTTATTCTTGTCGAAGCTCATGCAGATGGTTAGTGATAGGTTGAGTTCTGCTTTCTCCTGGTTGCAATGTTTTCTACTGTAATAGCTCATCTTTTCCTTCTCACAAACCACCAAGCCATTGTGTCTCATGAAAACTCTTTGCAGGATAATTCACTCAAAATTATTCTTCTTGTTTTTCTTCTCTTGATGAGGTAAAAATAGCCTCCTGATCAAAAGCCTATTCTATAAGCAAGTCACAACAGAAAGTTTGATATGGTTCTGAACCCAAGTCCTTCAATCAGGTTGAAGCAGCATCTCCAGCATGCATGAAATGGGATATTGTGATCCTGGCCACAAATCTGTGTATACAATAAACTCACTTTTGGACATTCACAGGGCAGCAGAATGGTCATCCTCAAATGAAACTTAAAAGTTGCAAAAAGAGAAAAGCCTTAGCAATGATCATCAATTGGACCTCACCAAACTTTAAAGCAACTTAATCTTTCTTCTAAAGAAAGAACATGTCCAGAGTAGTTAATTTAGCCAGCACAGTCCATCAACATCCATTTTGTTCTCAAATCTTCAGTTGCAATTTAAGATTTGTAAGTCCTCTACATTTTAAGTAATTGAACTACATAGCTTTATCGGTGAGGGCTTGTCTATGATGCATACTCTGGTTAGGCAGTCTAGAAGGCAATTTGAAATCTTCGGTTATCAATAGAATTCAGAAGTTTTTAGCATACTTCTTATTTATTTTCTTGAATTTTTAGCACACAATGTGCACAATGTCCAGTGTTTGGCCAGATTTTGAAACTTGGCAGAAATAAAACTTAATGTTGCTTTAGAATTTTTCTACACCTAGCCTTCTGATGATAAGATTTTGGCTGCTATAGTGAGAGCTTTTATCGCTAAATCATGGTTTCTACATGATCATTGTTACTACCTATCTTGCAATCTTCATGCTCAACCTTTTTCTGTGGTGTAAAACAACCATTCTAACGAATCAACAATTCTCTACTACTGTTTGTTCTAAGGGGCAATTCCAGCAGAGAGTCTGTCTAGATTAACTAAATACTGTTCCTAAAAATGTGTCGGTCCTTTTAGATCTAATCCAGAGTTTGCAGGTGCTGGTTATATTTTCAAGAAGGCTAATAAGGATGTTGCTCTTGGAAGGTCTATAAACCAATTGATGTAGAATGTTGCGTTACAAGGGAGGCCTCGCAGAACAGGATTCCATAGTATCTGGGTTTGTTCTGATACACCTCAAAAAGTTATAAAGGGTTCAAATGAAGGATTATCAAGTTCTGATCTTTGTTGAAGTTACATTGTAAGGAAAGAAAATGAAATGGATCATTTCTTGGAAGATTTTGTTACATGCAATCATTTTCTTTAAGTTTTCTTTTACAAGAGAGTTATTTGTAAGTTGAAATAATAATAAATAAATACTTTATTGCCAATGATTTAGGTCAAACGAAATTGATAAGCCACTCAGCCCATCAGCTCCGGTCGTGACAGTTTGAACTTTGAAATCCCCATTGGTTATATCAAATGGAAACTAACACAACAAGCTAAGCATGTGCAACTATATATGAAATAGATGCAACTATATATGAAATTCCAAAATCAACCATTCTCATCTCTTATAATTGTTCTCAGAGTTTGTTTCAAATGTTAGGAAAATTTACAGAAGCAAAAGACAGGTAACTACATTCAAATATATCTTGTTCTAGATTTTGGACCTTAAAATTCCTGTTGATTCAATCTGATAGAAATCAAGAAAATAAGCATGCACACAACTGTATGTGAAATGCCGAAATCAACCAGGCTCATCTGATAAGAGGGCACCAATATACATATATATTATTCTCAGAGGAAGTAAGTAAAGTAACTATATTAAAATTTGTCTTGTTCTAAAGGTCGCACCTTGAATCGCTGTTGATTATATCAAATGAAATCAACAAAATTAGACATTGTGTTTAACAGAAATCACCGTGAATTGAGGAAGGAACGAAGGTAGGGTCGGAGATCGGAGGCCATTTAGGGCCAATGGAGTTTATCGGAGCCGGCGACGCAGATGCCGGCGCGCTCGACGGAGTCGAAGAGGGAGGCAGCGGGGCGTCGGAGGTGCGGCGCGCGGGAGAACTCAAGTGGGTCGATCTCGATGTTCGACACGCCGATCTCGCGGAGGCGGATACCCAGCTTCTCGCCGACCCGGGCGGCGACGCGGGCATCCCATAAGAGCCGGGACGGGGCGAACCGGTTGATCCGGGCGCGGTTCAGGGTCAAGAACTCGGGCTCGTCGGAGGATGCCATGGCGACGATCGTCGACGACTGGGGGGCGATGACCTCCGCCGTTATCTTGCGGCAGCTCATCACCAGCCTCAGCAGGTGCAGCGGCGGCGGCGGCGTCGCCATGAGATGGTCCCGAAGCAATGAAGGGATCTAATGGAGGCGAAAGCTTGGGTCTCCATTCGCATTAGATGGTAGATACATTCGGATCCAACTAGTTCTAGATCCGAAATCGTGGTCGATCATACAAAATGGAACAATGGATCATCTAATCTATTGGATTTCGGATCTTTTGGATCCGACACGGACGACCCGTTATTAACGATTTCTACAGAATTCGATCAATTCGTCTCTCCCAAAGCCGCCACCCCGTTCTCGAGAGATTTGAGCTCGCAATGGCGATCGTCGCTCTCCGTCGACTCCCTCTCCACCTCGTTCGATCCCGTCCCTCGCCCGCGCCCGCTCCTCCTCGTCCTCGGCCGCCGCCGCGCCGCGATCACCACCGGCCTCATCGATGCCTGCTCGGCCATGTGCGGCGAGGTTAACATCACCCAGGAGTGGCTCGACAAGCTCCCGCCCGCATCCTCCGACGAGCGGCTACGCACTCACCATGGCTTCCAATAGCCAACAGGCATGCCGGGCTCGGGTGCCATGTCGTCCTCCAGCCCGATCGACAAGGTATGGTCGTCGCCTTCCCCGAATCCAATCCTTCTATTATCATAGAATGATTTGACGTGATCTCAATTGAGACTGTTAGAATTAGAACTTCTGTTTGCTTGTTTATATTTCTTTTAATGACCGAGGTGAATAAGGTGGAAGTGAAAGCGGATTAACCAGCTATTATTGTAGATTTATAATTTCATCTTTCCACTACTGATAGGTTGATAACATCTCAATGTTAAAAGTGATTCTTTTACTTTCGATTAATTTGAGTAAATTATATCTTTAAATCTTTGTGCAATTTTGTGGTACATTCTGCTTCTTCTGAATGCAGCATCAATTTTTTTTTAGAACATTTATCCAATTGCGCTTCATTAAAAATTGTAACTCAAATCATTCTTTGATTGAGTGGTTTGTGAAAGCCTGATCTCCTTCAAATAGTTTGATATTAGAGCTCTGTGTCCTCAACCTCAAGTGATGTGTACTCTGACAAATATATTGGAGATAAACATATTTGCCAAAGAGAAATATTTGTTGTTGCTTTGTAAGATTGTCATACTTATGATCAACTAGTGAACTTGCTTTTCTATTAGAGAAGCATTTGTTGCTCTGAAACAGAATCACTCAGTGACCATTATCTTGCTACTCAGCATTTAAGAAATCTTGAGACATTAGTTTCTAGTTCAGCATCCCATTGCCTTTTTATCTCAATCTTTCATGTATAATCCAACCAAACTTTTTGGAACTGAATCAGGAGGCCCTGCCACAACCTTCCGAACTCATTCTCTATGACACCATCAATAGCAGAATTGAAACTCGAGTTACTTGAGAAAGAATGTGAAACAGTTTACAAGGTCTGATGCTTTATTGCCATTCTGAAAGCAGATATGATATCATACTTAGGTACTTAAGATTTGCTCCACAGCACCATTTGGTTGAGCAAGACTAACATCATTAATATAAGTGATAACTTCAGCACAAAAGAAAGGAAAAAAGAGAACAATACATTGGAAAGAAGAGCAAAACTTATTGCCCAGTTACTGTCGCAGGTAAAATTTCACCAAGGACCAATAAAGGCTACTTTATATGCACATATTACTTGAAGAGAAAATTACTTGCGACGGCGATTACACTTGTCAAGAACCTAATTCACATTCATTTCTTTTCCCATCCAACCACTTTGAGTGGAAATATGAGTCCTGAATGGGGAAGCTAATCCCAAAAGTACCAGTCAGACAAGCTTCCCCTTTCTAATATATCATCAAATGAATTTGAGAGCTTTATTCTAACCTCTTAGATCTGCAAAACATTTGTAAACTAAGATCATTAATCTTATCCAGAACAAGTATAAGATGAAATCTAAGATATTACAATCAGCAGGATGCCAAATTGTGATTCAGATACATATGAGCATCTCATTCTTTGTCTTTCACATATCTGTATAGTTACAGAAAGATGAAACTACAAAGCATTCTCATCTAGAAATTGTTAGAGATTCTCTATTAGCCCTTTACAATATCAAGTTTAATTTTCTTAATATCAACTTTAACCAAAAATTTTATTATTTCATCCAAAACCAGGGTTTGCAATACTATTCGGTATGATTTAGTATGATGAGTGGAGTCTATCGACTTCTACCAGATGATTTTTTTTTTTCTATTTTTCAGCTTTCTTCGTGATTTGTTCATAACTCAAAGCATACCGACTAGTGAAATCATTAGTTGCCCAAGCATTCACCTAGGCGAGGTGAGGTGAGGTGAAGCGAGGCCCGAGTGCCCACCTAATGAACTGGGTGGGCGTCAACGCTCGCCGGGCGGATGCCTGGTTCAACTCAGGCTAGTTCGAGCCTGAGTTGAACCAAAGAATTGTATCTGGTTCAGTTCAACCGGTTAGACCCTAAGTCGATGACCACAGAGTTTGATTGAGACCTGTCCACGTGTGAGCCCTAACACAGAAACCCTTTCTCGCTTCTTTTTTGCACGGTGACGGAGTTCCTCCCATCGATGAACGACAGCAGCGGCGGCAGCAACGTCTTCTTCCAGCAGCAGCGGCTGCAGCAACATCTTCCTCCAGCGGCAGCATCTTCCTTTAGCAGCAACGGCAATGGCTTCTTCCCCTCCCTCCCGGTATATCTCTCTCTTCCACTCCTTCCCTGTTCACCGCAGCCCTCCTACGTTCACCGCAGCCTCTTCCCTCTTCCCTGTTCATCGCTGCCTTCTTCTCCATTCACCGCAGGCCTCCCATAGCCTCTTCCCTCTTCCCCATTCATTGCTGTCTTCTTCCCCTTTCACCACTGCCTTCTTCCCCATTAACCGTTGCCTTCTTACCCATTCACTGCAGCCATCCTACAGCCTCTTCCCTCTTCCCTCTTCCCTTTTCCCCTCCCTCTTCCCCGTTCACGGCTGCCACTTCATTGCTGTTTGTCAATTTAAACTTAGAATAGTTGCCTGCTTTGCTGTTAGCCTTTGTTGTTTGTTTATGTTTGTGAGAACAGCAGTTGCCTGCTGTAGTGAATCAGTTGTAAAATGTCGATTATTATTGCTATTGTTGTAGTTATTAGTGCTAGTTTTTAGTGTTTTGGATTATTGCTTTAGATGGTGACAAGATTGAAGATGAGGAACTGAATTTTAATGATCTTTGATGTTAATCTTGTTTTATTTTGTCATTTTGTTATTGAATATGGACAATGTAGTTTGGTACTTTAATGAATGAAAGTTTGATGTGTTATTTTTGTTTTAATTTATTTTTATTAATCATGATATATAATATTTAAATTATAATATTTGGAAGCACATCGTTTCGCTCAAACGAGCACTTAGTGCCTCGAGCATTTTAGGACTATGATGCCTTTTGACGCCTAGTGCTTTTGACTAGACTAATACCAATGTACCAAGACTCAATACATTGATACCTATTTGAGCATGGACTGGTTCACTACCAGCATACTAAATTTCACATTTAATAAACATAAGTGCATGAGGTTCCGGGCAATGTGAATCTAAGGTCAATGTATGCAGATGATGAAGAGTTAAAATCTGAAACAATTAATTAAGGCATGCCATTGACACACAGACTGAAACTTTTGATTGCTCATTAACCTAATGGGAACTAACAAGTTAATATTACAGTATCTGCAAGAAATACTTTTCTTAATCTATGCTTAAACTAACATGACCACTGTATTTTATGATAGTAAGTATGCAGTCCAGACATTTGTCATGAACAAAAGTAGTCTAAAGTTTGAACAGATTGATGATTGCTAAGTCCAAGGAATAAAACAACCATGTCTCCTCACCCAAATAAAAAAAAAACAATATTTGGTAAATATCTAGAATATTCAAAAGAACATAATAACATGTTGTCTTATGCATCTCAAGCATACCTGTTGCCTCCAACGGTTTGTTATAATGTAGCAGGAACGTGCCATTACATAGCACGGTAAGAAAAAGGCAGCAAACTCGAGAGTTACCTGAGACAATATATATGCATCAGGTTGTTAAACTTTTGGAGAAATGGAGAAGCTAATTCCATGAAAGAAAGAAAACAATAGATCAAGCTTCTAATTGTGATGGTAATTCATGAGGTGCATAAGCGTGCCATAATGTAGCAAACTCGAGAGTCACCTGAGACGATCTATATGCATCAGGTTCTTAAACTTTTGGAGAAATGGAGAAGCTAATTCCATGAAAGAAAGAAAACAATAGATCAAGCTTCTAATTGTGATGGTAATTCATGAGGTGCATAAGCGTGCCATAATGTAGCAAACTCAAGAGTTACCTGAGACAATATATATGCATCAGGTTCTTTAACTTTTGGAGAAATGGAGAAGCTAATTCCATGAAAGACAGAAAACAATAGATCAAGCTTCTAATTGTGATGGTAATTCATGAGGTGCATAAAAAATGAAACAACATTTTTGTGGCAGTAAAATTTACAGTGTTCGGGATCACCAAACAGTGCACCTTCCACAGGTACTGAGATCATGGAGAAAAAAGATGCAAGACAGTGGATCTCGGACCCATACTCGTACCCGTCCCTGGCCATACTGGTACAGTTTCAGTTTATACACAAAGACGGATACACGATATGTCTATACATGCCATGATACCAAGAGAGGGAGGGAGAGGAGGAGAAGTACCAGAAACCGGCTGGACCAGCACTGGTGCATGGGAGGGCTGTCAGCAGTGGTGGGTGTGCATTGGTGTGAGGCAACAATAAAAACACATGCCCCTTTAAAAAGTCCACTTTTGCATCCCTTAAAAAAACCCTAAACTCTATAAAAGAATTGACTGGACCGTTCGTTAAGGGGCAGCCCCTGTCCTGGTTCAAACCCGGACCGGTAGATACTGTTCAGTAGGAACCATGGCTATTACAATAAAAAAAACAAATGCAATAAAGTAAGTCAAACAAGAGGTATGTGATTAGGTTTGATTGTTAAGAATTTTATCAAAATAGGTGCAAAATAATGGCAAAAGCTACAAATTAAGATAAAAATGGCATTAAGAATATGAAAGAAATCTTATCTCTCAATGATAGAATTATGAAAAATCTAATATGGTCATAAGCTGAGCATAAATATTAGAAGTTGAATAAGAGGATCAGTAACCTATCTTAAGAACATGCAACTTCTGGAGCATAACGAATTAACAAAAGAGGAACTATCAACATGTTCTGCAATCTGATAGTTGATGAAAGAAAAATACAAACATCTATGTCCAATTCAAACTATACTTTCTCTCACTTTATTAGAGAGATTTAATCATTTATTTGCAGAAGAAAAGTTGTAGCTAATAGTGTATTGCATTGATAGAACTTCCAAAGGCAAGCGAGAAATTATGTTGTCATTATATAATTACATCAGCTCTAACTTTAGTGGATATAATGATGTAAAGTTAGCTTACATTGTATACAGCTGACATATCCTGCACCATCTCAATGTTCCTTATGACAATGAGGATATGGCGAAGTAGCAAGAGGAGCGTCAACTATACATGAACATGAACCATTTCAAACCTCCATAGTAAAAATAAACAAAATTGGAAACAACATTATTTTGACATACCATGAGAGCAATAACACGGCAGCAGGCAATTCCATTGGCACTTGAGGCTGCATAATCTTCATGCTCTGCACTTAAAAAATCCTGCTCAGCAGCAGCAATGCCAAGCAAATGTGAATCACGGTAGTCAATGAGTGTACCCCAACTGTGCCTAACAACAAAGTGAAAAAAGTATCATGAGGTCGATGATGAAAACACAAAACATGGAAAAGTAAGATAACGAGTTGATCTCTATGGTCATGTGCTTGTGTTATATCTACATAATCAGGGACAATGGGGCTAAGTGATGCTAACACCATAATATTCTTAACAGTTCTTTTATCCGCCTAAGATGTGTATTTGAGCAGAATCTGAAACCAAAACATAACTGACCACTGGTTTCAAGTAAAATTAAATCAACATGCCATGAAAAAATGAACTTTGTTTCTTGGTAAAAAGGAAGTCCATGGTAAAACTTGGATTATCTCCACACAGTTTTTGGTTAATGTTCAGATCAGTCACATACTCGACCATCTGTCATACATTAATAACCAAAGCTACTTGAGCTTTAATCAAATATGACTTGAAACACATCAAACTTGACACTAACAAAAAGTTGAAGTTGCACTGAACAAAGTTGAGGGGTGCTGCAGCAAAAGACTATTTAAGGTTCACCACACTTAAAGTAACCTTGACATCTTTTGGAAACAAGTCCCACATCTGATAAAATGTAGAGTATGCAAAGCTCATGCATTATAAATTGTCACGACTCGGGCCTGATAGGTTAACTAGCTCATCAATTTCGTTTCACCTAAATCAGGGTATTACGATTTTTCTCACTCAAGAACTTGACATCATCGTCAAGGCCCAACATAGCCCAGATCAAACCCTAGTATGGTGCATACAAGGTATAGCCCAATGATGGTTCCATGCCGTGACGAGTCCTTTGACTCCAGTCGCGAATAGCTCTTTCCTACTCAAGCCTCCTCATTATGACCAAACACTAGGTCGGCTCTAATACCAAATGTCATGACCCAAGTCTGTAGACTAACTAGCCTATAAGCTTCGTTTGGCCCAAACCAGTGGCCAAAATACTTAAGTTAAAGTTACTAGTAGTGTACTCATTAAACCCTTAAAAGTCAATCATAGTCTTACCCACTTTCAACGTGGAACTAATCAACATTACATAAATCACACAATGTTGTATATATATCGCATATGATGCCTACAAACAAAGTCCAAGTCATGTTTAACAGAGCTGATATAGCACAATTGACTAACAGCTACCACAAGATAATAAGAACTGACATCCAAACAGTAATACAAGATACTTCCATTATATTATAAATTATAGTGAAGATCAGCACAGGCTAGACTCGATTAATCTATAAAGACGGAATAAGCTCCATTAACTGATTTACTTTTGAAATTCATTTTCATTGGATGTTTATTGACCTGTATGAGGCACTAGCAGGTGCTGAAAGTTCATGTGAATTGATCGAGGAGGAAAGCTCCATTAACTGATTTACTTTTAAAAATTATATTGCAAGAATCAAAGACATATTGATAAAAGCAGCACAAATACATACTGTCAATCAGGAGGTTATTAGTATGAACCATTTGAAAGTAACCCATGCCTTTGCATGTGGTTCAATGTCAGAAAAAGAGAAAAAAAAAGCTTTAGACTATAATTTTTTGTCTAATTTATGACAGTGACATGATCATAACATACACAGGGAACTAAAGCATTTTAATTTGCAATAAGTAGAAAAGAAATCAACTCTCTGTAACAGGTACCTGACATCAATGGCCATTACATCAGAATTTGGTCTACTTGGTGGAACAATATAGTTTGGGCCAAAAATCTGTCATGTTACAAACATAAAAGATTGTCATAAGTACTTTGTGACAAACATTAAATGTTGATATATTTTGTACAACATAAGGTTGAATCCAAAGTTCAGGCTGAATAAGAGACAAATGTCCTTAATAGGGCTCAAGACCTCTAGTATTTCATTTTTAAACGTCTTCTTTAATTGTGACAAGAATAGTGATAAGATGCATGTTTAATAATCAGGAGAAACAGAGTGTAGACAGAGTGACAGACATCATTTTCCAGAAAAACTAGCACTTAAAAAAAGCTGCAAGGAATTAATGTTAACTGCTAATTCTAGGACAGACTTTACACGATTAAGGAGAAAATTTTGAATTCAATTTTCTTAGTGCATATAAGCGGAGAAGAAAGAGAGAAAAATTAATATCTCAAAGGCTAACCTGGTTGCATATTTCACAAGTGATATTTTGTTTTTTATTGCACCATCTTTGAATACATGTCCGATGGGCAAACTGCAGATGAGAAAAATCAGATGCAAACAAAACACCAAAATTTCACCATGAATAAAAAAATTCACCTAATTCATACTTAGTCAAAGTAAACCCTTCTAAATATTGACTAAAGTGCAAACCTCTTAAAGAAGGATTGAGTCTCACAAACAAGGATGGCCAAAAATAGAAAAAGAAAAGTGGACACTAGACTAAGGAGTCACAGTAATTAATTCAAAAGATCACATCTACCAAATTATTACAGAGAACAATATTTTACCAAAGACTGCGAACACCAAATATAATCTGATGGCCTATTCTAAATAAAAGGCAGAAAAAGTAACAAATTTTAGTATCATCATCAATGGAAATTTTAATATTCTAAAGAAAGCCCAGATATGAAAACCTGCTTCTGATAAGATGCAAAGCCCTGCATAACTTATGACTAGTTGACTAGAAGAGGCCAGGGGTGCAAGTTATTGATGTAGCAAAGAGACAAAAGGAGATCCGGTGCCAATGTTGTCACAAGCAGTTGCCTGGGCACTTTTTCTACTTCCATTACCTATGCTTGTAATGCTTTTTGGGGCAACATATCTAGTAGTTCTTTTTTATTTTTAAGTTGGTCCTATAGCTTGTGATAAGAGGCTAATTCTAGTATGGCATGCCAAATCCTTATCAATATTTCTTGAGACCAATCAAATGTTGGCTGCTTTATCAGCCTTATAATCGGAACTTCAACAGAATCAGGTAGAATCAACCAAACTCAACCCAAGTTGACTGATTTTGGCCAATTTTAGGCAATTCAACAACCTCAAAAAAGAGAATCAAAGGATTAGAAAATGAAAGATGGGATGGAAGAAAGGCAAAATAAAACAAGCCTATGTAATGACTTCTAGAATAGAGGTGACAATGCTACTACCGTGTTTGTTACAATCATCATTGCAACCATCACATTTTTCTATCTACTACCATTACTTCAAAAATATTGCCACTGCTGACAAAACAGAGGAGAATAATAGGAGAGCAAGGGAGAGGACAAAGTGTATATTTTATCCTTTTAAGAAGATACATATGCCATAAGAGTGAAAGCAGATGTCACGACATAATAATTAGTTTTAAATTGCATGAGCACTATCATCAAATAAAGTTTTCACCTTGTTTGTATTATTCAACGCTTAATATCCACATGGCTAGAGAAGCTTTGAGGCTGCAATGGCATCAATTGTGATTTTCAAAGCTACAAGTGATGAAATTTGGATCCTTTATATGACACATATACTGGTTATGTACTACATTAATATATTTGAGGTCCTTTCTTGTTAGGTTAAGCATTTCAGAAGTAGTGCTAATCCAACTCATTATTTCATCATAGCGACTGAGTTGATTGTAAGTTCAAACCATAGATCTATCCCTTAAATTTTACCCAGGTGTTTACATCTCAAGCTCATTAATCCTTCGTCCAACTTGCATGAGGGAGGACGTCATAGTATAAATATAAATTAGGTCATTTCCTATTAGCTTAAGCTTTTAGGAACACTGGATCCACCATTTTATTAATGATAAATCATGTTCTACCATAAATTATCAAACATGTTTGTGCTTAATTCTTATTTGCATTGACAAAAACAGATATCACTAAAACTTCAATGTCTACAGTCCAGAATGCAATCAACTAAATCTCAAATCAGCATGGTCCTAATTCTTCCTAGTGGGTGATTCAGTGTCTCTATGGGGTAGTGTCGACCCCAATCGATCTAAGTTAAATCAAATTCTTCTCTTCTTAAACAGCTTATGACTTGAGAATGGAACCTTCTTTATGGACATTACACAAACCCATCCCCATGTCAATCGATCTACGTCAAATCCTTCTTCTCTTTTTAAACAGCTTATGACTTGAGAAGGGAACCTTCTTCTTCATGTATATTACACAAATCATCGACATGTCAAACTTTACAAGGACAGAGAAGAGATAGGCAAGTGGAGAAGAAAAAAGAGAAGACAAATAGAGGCAATGTCCCCCACCCTACCCAACCAGGATGTGAATAGAAGGAAATCATTTCCTAAATCTTTTAATATTTACATAAGTATTCTCTATATCTTTCTATCATCTCTTGACCAAAATATTATGCTTAATCTAGCCAACCCATTGTGATCCGATCACTATCATGATACGACCCAACAGGCCCACTAGCCAAACAAATTTGGATATAATAGAGCTTTAATGTGACTCAGAATACTTAAAAAGATACATTAGTAAGAGAATCTACCATTCACTCTTGACATTATGAGAGACAGGGAAATGCTTCACTTCTTGAAACAGTGAATCAGCCAACACAAGATAGATAATATAGAACGTATGTACGAAATACCAACATGCATTGCATTCTGGTCGACTCCAAGAATACTATTTTTCGTACGGCCTCGGCACACATTCAACACAATAAACCATACAAAGATCCGTATCAAGAAGAAGAATTTTAATTTAGCTCGGAATTTTATTTTCTTTCTGCGGTGCAAACTCGTACTCGTCAAGAAAGAGGAACAAGAAAAAGTTTCAAGTCCAAGAACAGGAAAAGGAAAATTCTACCCAATTCAAAACCAAAAAAGTCTCATCATCTCAAACAAAGTCACGGAAAGATAGAACTTGCGAAAAGAATTGCGCGGAAGAAAGAAAGAAAGAAAAACGAGGAAGATAAAGAAGGGGAGAAGTCTTCTTCCAAGTACCCATAATGGGCAAAAAGGGAAAACTTGTACCCAGAGAACCACCCCGAAAAGAGACAATTTATACATCAACAAAGCTGTTTTCCAGTGAGTACTAACCCTAGAAAGTAAAACTTGGGAGAATTTGACAGAGAAGATCGAGGAGGAGACCTTGAGAGTGCCATTGCAAGCGCAGGGAGCTTCCATGTGGCGCTCCTCCCCTTCCTCTTGGCATATCCTACATTCGACGACCGCTCCACTACCCACCTCTTGGCTCAGCTTCTTGCCTTCGGAGCTCGGCTTCTTGTCCTCGCGACACCCCGCCAACACCGTTCCGACGTCCGCCGGCGGCCGGGCGACACGATCGGAACAACCAAAGCTGCCTTCGACGCCGTCATTCGCAATGAGCCTGTCAATGCGCACCATCGAATCCCCCGCCATGACTCCTCTTCTTCTCTCTCTTCGTCGCTCCTTTTCGTGCTCCGTTACGGTCCGAAGAACCGAGGGACAAAAAAGGAGGGGTTTTTATTGCATACGACGAAAGGAGAGGACATGCTTTTAGTCTTATTAGACGATAATACCCTCAAAGGAATCCACAATTTCCATGAACCAATCTCAAATTAAAGTTAGATTCAGCATGAGGACATGTGAATATATTTAGTTGAATATAAAGAGAGTTCTTGAAAAGAAAATTAGAGGGGATTTTGATTACTTGAAGAAAATGAGAGATTGTGAAAGAAAGACTTCCACTTTACTAATGCAAAATATTTATAGAATAAAAGAAATTTCAATCTAAATATAAAATAAATAATATTTTTGAGAAACAAAAAAAAAAAGAAATTGAGGGATAAGTTTAGGGAGTTATCTAAAAAATAAAGGTGACAAAAAATATGACACTATTTTTTTCTGAATTTCCTGACATTCTCTCTCACATAATGTAATGTGGAAGTCTAGAGTGAAGATTCCACAAAATTTATCTCATCTCTCTATTTCAAAGATATGAAAATATTTGTTTGTCTTAAGACTTGCAAAATGAAAGAATAGCTTGTCATTACAATATAAACAAGAATGCATCATTTTCTATATTGTTTTCTTTGGTTCAAAGACTTCAATCTTCCAAGTCCAAAAAATCCCAAACCAATCCTTTTATCAGTTACAAAGGGAAAATTTTCCTCAATTACAATGATGCTCTTTCCCTTTCTTATTTAGAATGAATTCCATTGTGCAGCCATTTTTTCATATCTTTAATGTTGGTGTTTAGATCTTTTCTTGAGCCCCTGATGAGAAGCAATGGAACAGTATGTCTGTCTTACAAAAAAGCAAGGAAGATATGAGGTCATGATGCAAAAAAGAGATAAAATCAAATCCTAAAGATGTGCAGTGAAGTTGTTGGATTGAAAGTTAATCCTTTTTCTTCCATTACCACTTGGAATGATGGATAGCAAAATGTTCTGATGATCCTAAGATGACTATGAATTCTGTGTCAAATTCTGAACATATTTTTAATGTTTATCTTCCTCCCATTCCATGTTTAATTTAGATCAACTTGCAGCCCATTGTTGGCTTTCTTCCTCCACAGATGCTAAGCTTGTTTGATCACATTATGGCTATCCTATGATGCATTTCATACATATTAATTATAGTTAAACTTTGTCCCTTTCATGTACAGACACATGCAGCTACATTGACTTTCAAAGGAGAAATGCTAGGAATAAGGTAGAATGATTGAGTTGGTATGTGATAGCTTCTGCAAGTAGGCAGGTTGGCCACCAAGTAGGCATTATTCTTAGAATAAAGCAGGAAAGAGAACAGCATTCAGAATTGAGGGAGGGAAGTCAAACTTGATGAGGTTGGATGGCCCATAAAAATAGTTGTGAGACAGGTTGATTCTGTGAGGAGTGACACACAACAAAGTTGGGAGTAGGCTGGAAGCAGAGAGCACATGAATGAAGCATCCATGGAACTTGTCAACTGTAGACAGGTGACAAGATTGAATTGTTGTTTGGGAACAGTTGTTTGGTTGATGATCACTACATGTGATGTGGGGAAGGGAGACTTGAAGAGTAAATGATGATCATAGAGATTTTTAGTTCTTCTTTTCCCCAAAAGAAAAAAATCAAATATTGAAATTTTTGAAAGATCATATTCATCTCCTTGTCTGAGCTAATGACACTATAGAACTCAGCTATCCATTCTACTTTGCCACAAAATAATAGAGAAAGGATTCTTTGCAAAAACAACTATAAAATTGACAACTCTGTAAGCTTCCCTAAGAACATGTGAGTCTATAGTGAATCAAACGAGAAAATGGGTTAGAGAAAATGTCTCACTTGGGATCCACAAGTAAACATTCCAAGAAACACTTCGTAGACAATGCAAATTACAAACAGACTTTACAAGCTCTGAATAATTGCACAACAAAGGATCAAAATGGTGCATTATAAACCGAAAATCTCTCACAAGTGTCCACATGACACAACCTTTATTTACAAGCCTAAAGCGACCACCAAATCCAACTAAAATGGGACTATTAAGTTTTCGACCGTCCCTCTACATTCTATGCAAACTATGAACATACCAAAAGACACGGACATACATAAGCATTACATCAAACATCCTATTTCGAAGTTTGTCCGTGACATTATGGTATTTGATTGTGGTATGAGATAGATGTAGATTTCTCAAGAAGAGCTGGTTGAAATATTTTTTTTTGTTTTTTGTTTTAGGATATATGGAGTTGCAGATGGTGTTCATGATACTTAATCTGAAGTATCTTGATTCACAAATAGTAATCTCTAGGAGGTTCTAACATAAGACTTTGGATTCTGGTTTTATCTTGACAACATGTATTTCTTGCCAAAACAGGTTTTGCTGGCAATGAATATTTTCTGAAACAGTATGGGAAATTATTTAGCACAATGCAGGACTCGAATAATGACTGATCTTAATTTTTTGGGAGATTTTTGATGATAATACAGAACCAAATGAAGTTGATGTACTATGATTATGTCTAATCCAACTGTATGGCTGCATTAGTGATGTACTTATCATAGATTGTGCATGAAGCAATGATTGTAATGTCACTATTTGATTCATTTCGTCCACACCACGATTGAAGATGGATATCTATACTTTAAATATTAGCTCACTTAATAATCGGAGGAGTTGTGTCGGGGACAAACCGTTAGTGATTATTTTCCTATAAGAATGAGTCTCGCGAGGGATCAACTTTCTCGTATAGAAGTCCTATCCTCACCGGTTGTTACCTTATCTCTTTAGATCGTTATTAAAAGCGGGTTTGGCTCCTATATTGAGTTTGGTATTGAGAAGAATTTTCGTAAAACAAACTATATAAATAATAAATGAAATTAAATTTAAAGTTGGGGATGTAGCTCAGACGGTAGGACGCTCACGAGAGGTATCGAAATTGATACCTTGCATCTCTAAATTATTTTGATTTATTAATTTTTATTCAATTTATTTCCTTTTTATATGTTTTTAATCTGTTTTTTATATATGTTAATATAATCTAATTATAATTATGTATGCAATTAACTGATTTATATAATCTAAAGTTTCCATCTCGGTTTATTATTTTCTTTTTTATATGTCTTTTCTCACTGTTGTTATTTATTTATATGTTAATGCAGCAAAAAAAAAGTTATGACTTACTATATATAGCGGAAAAGAAATATACAATTCATCATGGGGATGTAGCTCAGATGGTAGAGCGTATGTAAGCTGGGATTGATACGCTGCATTTCCAAATTGTTCTGATTTATTAATTTTTATTCTATTATTTCCTTTTAATATGTTCAAAAAAAAGTTGACTTTCTATATATATAGTTGAAAAGAAATATATAATTTATTATGGGGATATAACTCAAATGGTAGAACGCTTATTTAGTTGAAAAGATATGACTTACTATATATATAGAGCTGAAAAGAAATGTACAATTCATCACAAAAAAAATTATTAATTACTATATATATAGCTGAAAATAAATGCATCATTCATCATGGGGATGTAGCTCAGATGGTAGAGCGCTCGCTTAGCATGCGAGAGGTACGGGGATCGATACCCCGCATCTCCAAATTGTTCTGTTTTTTTAATTATTTATTCTATATATTTCCTTTTAAAATGATTTACTATATATATAGTTGAAAAGAAATATATAATTCATCACGGGGATGTAGCTCAGATGGTAGAGCGCTCGCTTAGCATGCGAGAGGTACGGGGATCGATACCCCGCATCTCCAAATTGTTCTGATTTATTTAATTTCAAAAAAAAGTTATGGTTTACTATATATATAACTGAAAAGATGAATAAATAATTCACCATGGGGATGTAGCTCAGATGGTAGAGCGCTCGCTTAGCATGCGAGAGGTACGGGGATCGATACCCCGCATCTCCAAATTATTCTGATTAATAAATTTTGTTTCTTTTTTATATGTTTTTTACCTCTGTTTTTTATATGTTAATATAATCTAATTAAAATCATGTATGCAATTAACTTATTCATTATCTAAAGTTTCCATCTCAGTTTATTAGTTTTCCTTTTATATGTCTTTTTGTCACTATTGTTATTTATTTATATGTTAATGCAACAAAAAAATCTTACAACTTACTATATATAGTAGAAAAGAAAAATACAATTCATCATAGTTATTCTATTTTTATTCTATTCATTTCCTTTTTATATGTTTTTTTCCCACTGCTATTTATTTGTTAATGTAATCCAATTATAATTTTATATACAATTAACTGATTTATAATCTAAAGTTTCCATCTCGTTCGGCAAAAATATATTTTCTATTTTAAACATGCATCTCTTTTCTTTATTTTTTTCTTTTTATATGAGTTAATTATATATTATCTCTTGTAATTAGTCTTTTTTAACCTCTCGTTTCTTACTATTTCAAAAGTTACATTAGGATATCTATATTTATGAAAGTAAAATATTGATATCTCTAAACAAAGTTTAAAATGTAATTTTATAGAGTTAAAAATCAAGAAATAGAGAAAGAATGTTTGTTGGAGTAATGGGTTAAATGTTTCACTTTTGTAAGTATAGAGATCTCAATATAAATTTTAAAAATATAAAAACTAAAATATTAAAGATAACTAATAAAATATTATTAACGATAATTGATATTTAATTTATATATTTTTATAAATATTATTAGCAAGAGTTTATACATCGTTTTGGGTGTGAAAACCTTATCATCTAATTTGAAGAAAATTCATTATATTTTTTTTCTTCCAATTCAACCTGTCAAGATTGACACGACCAAACTTATTTGATGAAGATGGAGATTCAAATATATAACATATTAAAATATATATGATAGTCACATTTGATTTTTAAATTTTTAAATTTTTAAATTTTTAAATTTTTTACTCTTTTTAGTTAGTATCCCAATTTCTTCTTATTCCCAACCCTTTTTTTTATACATGTTTCAACGATCACTTCAACCTCACTACTCTCGTCATGAGGCCTCATGGACCCTTCTCTATTGTTCGTCACCTCGTGATTTTTCTCGCGTACCATCCATACACTCTTGTCATCTCTTTAACCTCGCATGCCCTTCGTCCCATCGCTAGCTCGCTATCCATTTGCTCTTATTACTCCTCGAGCCGCACGTGCTCTCATTACCCGCATGTCCTTATCTCTCACTTTTCTGTATCAGACTATGTTTACTCCAGTCATGCATGGAGTTGTCGAGTGTCACACAATGACATGTGGCAGCAGGGGTTGGGAGCACACCTGAGATTGAAAATTAATCGTACGTAGCAAGCATCTCTATTAGTGTTCGCTACGACAACAATGATATGAGTCATGAAAACTTGTGCCACTTTTGTTAGGACAGTGATAAGAGCAAGAACGATAGTGAAGTCATGCATACGAGGGTGATGACCAACGAGAACGACGAAGGAAAAGGAGATGAGAAGCAAGGGGGGTCGAAGATGATGATATGCAGAATGGAGGTTAAGGACAATTTCATCTTTTAATAAATAAAAAAACACTCTACTCTACGAGAATAAATAAAAAATAGAGCACTAATCTAAAAAGTAAAATAAAATTTTTTTTTTCCCAAACTTTACATATATCAATTTAGTTTTCTTGGAGAATTAAAAAAAAATGTAACGCTAATCGAAAAAAAAAGAAGAAGAAGAAGATGAGACATGATTTAGTCACCGATTTTAGTTTCCAACCAGATTTAAGTTCACAAACGATAAATTTCTAACACTCTACCAGCAGCAGTATATATATCAATTAATTAACCGGAACATAATTTCTAACACTTCCATGCACCCATTCCGATAGAGTCAACTCCTGGATGTGATATCCGACCCATTTCGGTCGGTCGGTCGGTCGGCCGACAAGTAGATCCGATCCGACATTGTCTCATGTGGTATACAAATGTTACCCATCTTTGGGATGTCCTCTTTTCCCAGAAGGGAAAAGTTGACCTCCTGTGAGCACAATATGAACATCCTCGAATTTGCATCATCTTTTCGCCCTCGATGAACACAAAATTGTTTTTCCTCCTTTTAGAGTTTTCTTATCTCTATTTCGAGCGATCTGAAATATTTTTAAATCTATCTATCTATCTATCTCATAGCAAGTGGAATCAGATTGTGATATCCTAATTAAAAGACTTTTGATAATATATTTCGAGTATCATTAGGGATATTAAGAGAGGTACTGTAATTTCTTATTAAACATAGAGATTAATGATAGAATTAATTTGTTACATATAAATATTTAAATAAGATAACAATTAATAATATTTTTGATGAAATATATTCTCATTCTTCTCAACCTTTGAAGATTAGATGTTACAATATCAATGAAATCTAAATACAAACCAACTATAGAGAACCAAATTAGACAATTATTAATTAAGAATTAGAAAAAGTAACATTTTATCCAAAATACCAATTTAATGAGAGGTAAGTAAATCCACCCAACTTTGCTTAGCCTTCCCTTTCTCCAAAGCTGCTTTATACGTAGGCCAAGCATGGCCGGCGATGCACACTGCCCAACCTCCCACGCGTTCTCTCCCATCCCCAAGCCAAAATCCAGCCGCTGTCCCTCTCTCTCTCTCTCTCTCTCTCTCTCTCTCTCTCTAAATCGTGTGAATCTAACCCGTTCATATGCTCAGATTCCCCAAAAGAAAAATCTCTCTCTCTCTCTCTCTCTCTCTCTTCAGGCCATCAGACCGCACTGGATTGTGTGAATCCAACCTGTTCGTATGCTCAGATTCCCCCAAAAGCAAAAGTAAAGCTGCGTCCGGACACCTCTCTCTCCCTCGCTAATGTCGAGGCTATGATGAAAGAGTCTGATAACATATAGCTTCTGCAGGTAATCTATCTGCCACAATTCTTGTAATATTAGTTATTATTATTAAGAACAACAAAATGTCCCCACAGTCTCTCTTTTCAATCCAAACAATCATCACCTCCTTTCCAATTCCAAAAAATTCCTGCACCAAAATAATATCTTCATTTTCTTTCTCGATGAGAAAGAAAGAAAATATACATAGAAGGACCTCTCGAGTCTATTTGTTCTTCTTCTTCATCTTCTACTTCTGCTTCTTCCGGAGGACGACCTCGGTGTCGAGGCCGAAGCCGTCGACCTTGCGGACGCGGACCAGCTCGGAACGCTTGAAGAGGGCGACGAGGCCGTCGACACCCCCGAGGAGGTCGTTGGCGGAGTACTTGTCCCCTCGCCGGTGCACCGCCACATGAAGCACCGCCACCCCGCCCGGCCGCAGCGTGCGCTCCACCTCCGCCACGAACCGCTCCGGGTACAGCGCGTGGTCGAACACGTTGGAGAACTCGAAGTCGAAGTAGTCGTCCGGGAAGGGCTGCGCGTGGAAGTCGCCCGCCACCACCAGGGGCGGCGCAGGCACCAGGTCCATCCCCAGGGCGCCCGCCACGCCGAGCCCCCGCAGGGCCGCCACCTCCTGCCCAAGGCGCGCCCCGACGCAGAGCGCCGCGGAGGCGTTCGTGAGGAGGCCCTCGGCCTTGAGCTCGGAGAAGAAGCGGGCGAAGACGCGAACCTTGCGGTCCCAGTCGCGCGTCGCCCACACGCGGCGGAGGCGCGGGTTGAGCGTCTTGTTCAGCTGCAGCTTGATGTAGTCGTCGTAGGAGCGGAAGCCCGGTCGGATGCGGATGAGCGGGGGGGTGTTGGCGGCGGCGGCGGCGGAGGAGGAGGAGGAGGAGGGGGAGTCTGGGGCTTTCTTGGAGGATAGGAAGAGGTGTAAGAAGAGGAAAAAGGAAAGGAAGATGAGGAAGAAAGGCTTGAGGATGGGCTTCTTGGGGATGGACATGGGGAATCAAGACGGCTATCCCGTGAAGGAGTGGGCGAAGAAGGCGATGAGGAGGAGGAGGAAGACGTTGAAAGAGACGGCGAAGGAGAGAAGACGTCCTCCTCCCTCTCTTCTGATCTCTGTTTCTTCGTCTTTTCGGGCTCTCGGCAATGGAAGACAGTAATATGGGATTACGCGTTGGGATATCCTCTGTGCTGTGTGGTGGTCCAGCGGTGCAAGATTGAGATGGCATGGACCAGAGAGAGAGAGAGAGAGAGAGAGAGAGAGTAATCGGATCCTCCTATTCAAATGGGTAATTGGACTGGATCGGAAAGCCATCGGATCCGCATTCAAGAAGCATTATTGGAGTACATTTATGCACCAAACCATCTGGCAGATCATGTGAAGCACATGCAGCAGCAAACATGGAAGGAATCAGGGTGGAGACTCATAATATTCTTATTGAAATATGATTGAAGTGGATCAAATAAATTTGAATACTTAAGATACGATAAAAATATGATCACAATCTATCAATAACATCAACTATATAAAGTTGTTATTATTATGAATAAGCTCAAGTTATATATTACCTTATATACTTGGACCATATTAGTATCATAGTCCATATACTTCAAAAAAAATATATTAGGATCCTAATAATTTTTAAAATGAAATAAATAACCTCATTTTTTTTAAATATATCGACGAAAAAAGATAATTTTAATATTCCTTTCATTTCTGACATGTGAGATGTTAAAATTAATTTTTCATCAATAAAATCATTCAAAATAAAAATAATATTAAAATTAACTTTTTTTATCTTCACTTTTGTATCGATCCAGTACAAGTATCTATTTTCCATCAATGTGATTGACAACATTAGAATAAATAGAGTTATTTATTTTATTTTTAGAACTATAAAAAATTTAATATAATTTTTTTAAATATCAGAATCGCAATATTAATTGGTTTCAAGTATAAAGAATAATAGGTAATTCGATCATAATAATAACCTTTGATATAGATGATGCTGTCACTATCACATCATGAATACAGTGACAACCACCACCGTGACTGCATCATCATCATTATCATCATCATCACTATTATTCACACTGACAATGACCACCAACCTGATTCTGCCATCATGCATCCCATGGTCCTATTCCTTCTTCTTCATTGCAATTCAAATGTTTGGTGGTCCTTTGAACCTTCAAAACAATAAATTTCAACTGAGATACGTTCCGAACTCTTGACTCTGAAGCCGCTTGGCAGGGACAGGATTAATGACACGGGCATTTTGCAACAGGACAAATACATGAGTGAGAGGAAAAGTGAAGAATGAATGATTCATCACAGGAATATGTTGAGTTCATGAGCATCATCATCTCCTGATGCATATCTGTCACTGGTTTTTAGGATCCTGAAATCATAATTCAGGCCATCACAATACATCCTGTTGGATCTGATACATCAGTAACGTCAGGAACATATAGGATGTACATGATGACATTTTACAGATTTCATGATCCACTGGCCTATTGAAACAGCAGTTTTTGACCAAAAAGAAATGCTTCGACAGTATTGCACTCATTCATTCGTAAGATAAATGAGCTCAAGAATGCCAGAAATCTGTTACAAAAAAAAAAAGTGGGTTGGAAAACATGATAATAGAAAAACAACACGACATCATCTACGCTACCTACGTACAAATTGCATATACAGGGTTTGGCAGCTTTTGCACGCTTCAGATTATAATGTGGAGGGACCTGCATGTTTGGCTGAGTAACATCCGTAAATTTGTGACCTAATCAGATGCTTCAGGTACAATATAAATAATTGCTTCCAGAAGATCATCATGCTAGCCGATGGTGATCTCGACTGTGCAGTTTGCATTGCAATCACCGGTATACATCTACCTCTGTACATCAGACCAAGTAGTGTGTTGTGAATCTGAAAATAAGCAAAGAGTTTCTTCCAGCAACCCTTGGCTGATGCTTTTAACTACAAAAGGCAATGAGTGATTGCAATGCAACGAATGTATATGGGCTACAGCAACAAAAGAGAAAAGGAACTTCACATTGATTTGACATACCTGGAGCAGAGTTTCCTGTTCTGATTGTGGTCTCAAAGAGCATTGACAGGCGCCACCAGATATTCTATTAAATTGTCCGCATTGTTTCCTGGATCCTAGTCATGGCATCTGCCTTTGTCATGTTGGACTTGGCAGCGTCAAGTAGTGGGTCCGACCGTAGAGCCTTTTCAAAACAGGTTTTAGCCTCCTCCCAGAGGCCCTCAGCCACATAAACAAGCCCAAGATTGTTGTAGGCTGGTGCATATCCAGGGCAAAGTTCCAGAGACTTTGCAAAAATTACCTTGGCATCATTGAACCTCTTTTGTCTCCGGTAAAGATTACCAAGGTTGGACAGGATGGCGTGAGCATGTTGGTTTGCAGCAAACGAGAGCGCTTTCTTGTATACCAATTCAGCTGAAGATGGGTCATCCGTTAATTGCAGAGCGATACCTAGAACAATCAACAAATACAAGATCACTGAATGTGGTGTATTGCTTAGTCGTGGTTAGAAAGATTATCAGAACATAAGATGATATTTCAGCCTGCCAGACTCATATCTAATGCCACGTCTCTTAAAATTGGACTCTTAAACATAATCTAACAGGTTTCCAATGTTCTCAGCATACTTTTACTTTTCCACTCCATAATGGTTAAGATTATATTGTCACATAACCAAAGTTGAGACTTTTAATTGCCCTGCCCAAAGCAAATTTGTTTCACTAGAAAAATATTATAAGTTGATGACCAACACGGAGGAAAATATCCAAATAAAACAACAGAAAGAAAAGGATAAAAGGCAGGAGAGGAGGGAAAGTGGTCTATCAAAATTCTTAAGCCCTCAACCTCATTTCCACTTCCTTCAATAAAAGGGACAAAAGGCTTTTCTTTCCTTTTAGCTTTGACCCTTTCCAAGAATTGGTTATAGTGTTATGGATGAGTTGGATTCTATCAGATTTGACATAGAAGTTTTGATGGCTGTCACCTAAACTTTCACTCGTTAAAAACAAGTTTGTAGAAGTATGTTCAGTAAGTAGGTTCATCATGACACCTGAAATTAGTGCTACTTAAATAAATATCTCCAAAACCTCAAAACACTTAAAAGCAAAACTAAATAAATGATTTTCTAAAACTTAATTAAACCTGAAACTTCTTAAAAACTCATCAATAGGCTGTGTTTGGATCAAATAGAGCCTATTGATGAGTTTGGATCAAATAGAGATCCTGCTTGATATACTACATGCAACCTGGACATATATTTTGCTATTGTTATCAGCAGAAGATAATTAATTTAAAGGTGTTTAAAATTCTTTCTCCATTGCTACATAAGGGAAGCCTTGGAGACTGCCAGTCAGGAGGAGTCATTGATGTGAACTATAAAACAAGAGGACATTTTGGTAATAAATTGTACAGCAAGCTTCAAAATTCAACAAACACGAGCAAAAAAAATCAGTGCATCAGCAATAACTTTGGAACTATTTTATGGCTCAAACTGTTATACCCTTAGGGTTGGCAAATTCCAGTCACATTGATTGCATATGTTGAATCATGCTGCCCTACAGAGTCCATGTCATATCATGCCAACCGATTACTATAATTTGTTGGCACATGAACAGCAGGATGATCATGGCACATCATCCAACATATCCATGTCATGATTGATAAGAATATCAAAAGGTTTGATAGATGGGTCAATACAGATGGCACATCTTAGTTGACAAATTACCAAACATTCAAACCCTCCCAACCCACTAATGGTATAACACTTAGCATGGCTACCACAAGCAGTCTTCTGCTCGCCATTAATTATCACAAACAGACAATCTAGCCTCCCTATTTCCCTCCTTTGTTTTTCCATCTTGCAATGTCAGTATGGTATCAATGAGGTCTGTACATGGTGTCCTGTGAGATAGTAACATAATTATCAGCTAAACAAACTCATCATCCTCGTGTTCTTATTTATGGTATAGCTAGTAGCCTGAAAAACCAGTAGCTCTTACTGCTTTCTGACACAGCCAAATAAAAAAGTACACCAGATAACGAGACCAGAAATAATTACCAAGATTGGACCATGCAAAGCTGCATTCTCTTGATCGGGCTACTGCAGCCTTGAGGAACTTAACAGATGCCTTGAATTGCATGGTACAGAGGTTGTGTAAACCAAGTTGATGCCATTGAATTGCATCATCTGGATCCTCTTCAATTGCCTGCAACAAAGCATTACTCATAAATTCAACAGAAGTGTGCAAGTCATTGCACAAGCAGTGATGCATAATGATATCAGCAATCTCTTCAAACAGTGCCTTCAAAAATCTTAAACTTGCCAGTATATGCATTTTCAATTTGACTATTTATCAAAAGTTATAGCAGAAGACTCATGATATCAAGGATTTTCAATTTAAAATTATAACATTTAATGACAAGATGGTCAAAAGACACATTCTCCAACATCAAAGGTTGTGACTGTGAAAAAGGTTTGCAAAGTGCTTCCCATATGAAGATAGGTATCAGTGCATCTAAGGAACCTAACTTGATATGAGGTAGCAAGAAACTATCAATAGTTTATAATGATAAACTTACTATGCTTACTTCACACTTAACAGATGGAAAAGGTTATTTGACATGTGCAGGAAACATTCTTAAGTTATATGATGAACAACCAGGAACCCACAAAATTAAGCATTGTCCACATGATGACCATATAATATAGCTAGTATGCAGTTCTAATAATGTGCACGATTATCTAAACCTAGTGGGTTTTGCCTCTGAACCTGGATTTGCAAATATTCATGTGAACACATAGGAATGCACCAGGTTAATTAAGGTGGAGCATGGGTTATAGAACTTGTCAAGAGTGTACCAAAATGAAAGAGACTAGAAGCTAAATTGTATCAGTTGGACTCACTAATTTTATAGAAAAGAAATTAGTAGTAGGAGTAATAACATTATCATTGTATCCAAGGGATGTGCCGGCTTAATGAGACTAAGTGCATAAATCCTTCTTGATTGATTAATACCTTTGTGGCAGCAGATCTTATTCTCCCTTCTATCTTCTCTATTTGCTTTATATCACTACTTGTCCTTAGTTTCAAGTAAATGATAGCTGTTCAAAACAGGGAAAGCTCATTTTCAAATTAGGGTAACGACTAATCATGGACAGCACATGTCAGCAATGCTGCAGCAAGCAAACAATGCCATGGCATTAGAGCAGCAAAACGAGGTCCTTGTCATGCTGATTGAAATGCTAACCCCAGAGCATGCCTATATGCCATACCGACAAGTGATCAGGAACAGTATGCAGAAAGGATGAAAATTATTGGCACGACACATTGATGTGGAACAAAAAAGAATATCATAGATCCATGTAAAATGGAAGCATCACCTGTTTTAATGTATACAGAGCTCGCTCATCTGCTTCATCCAAATCCATCTGCCCAGAACCAAAAGCAGATGCTATTTCATGTTGAGCTCTATGAGCCATTGCCAATCCTGCCCATGCTATTGGAAGATCAATAATTGCAGGGTCACCTTCTTTCAGAATAGAAGCCATTTCATTTGCAGCCCATGAAAGCTGTTCTCTAGAATCTTGTGTCCTTTCAACATCTTTGATTCGATGAACTGCTATTGCATACCTGGTAGACATTTGAATAGGCTCTAAATTTGCTGCCTGCAGATTAAAAAAAAAATGCTGCAAGACTTATTACTTCAAATGAAGAACATTTTAGACCTGTTCAATAAAATTTTCAAAAAAAAAAAGGTGACCTAAAAAGGTTTAGAAAACCTTTAATCTAACTGATAAAATTTTTTATGATTGATGTTGTTCTAATTCTTTTCTAAACATATTTTAACTTGCTTTCACTTCAACCAGAATCCAAGCTTCAGCAATGATTTTAAATAGAACTGAGAGTATGACCTTCTCCAGGCACTTTTTGGCACTCCTGTGATCACCTGACACATAATATGCATTGGCAAGATTCACCCATAATGGGCCTGCTCGTGGATCAGCTTTCACTGCCACTAATAAGCACTCCTTTGCAACAGTTGTAGCTTCTACTCGATGCACAAAAGCCCCTTCTCCTGCATTGGCACCTGGACCTGATATGTTAAAAGATATTAGAATGACTGATGATGCTGTTTAGATCACATCAAACTATGACCAACAACTGGTGATTCTAGTATAATTTTTTGCCACATTTGTAATTGTTCTACACCAAAATTGATAAAATAAGAAGTCTGACTATCATTAGTTTGCTACTATGACTAATTGACCTTATTATAGAAGATCATTTGCTTTCAAGCTTAAAAGACTCCTGCTATTATGCTATTCAATTTGATGTCATAGCCAGCTACAATTACAAATTTGCTCCACATCTAATCTCAAACCACTATTGAACAACAGTTATGTTGCATTACATACATTTGAAATTAATACAGAAAATCAGCAGTAATTGACTAATTTCTACCCCCTTCAGTTTCCAACACCCCTCATTTCTGTTCTAGTCTCAAAAACCAGTCCATGCATTACATCACAACAACATAATACAGTGGATATGCAACCTATTGACCACACAAGGAATTGTAGATTCAAAAAAGTGAAATTAATTTCTCCAAGCAATGTATTTGAAATTGAAAGATAAAGTTACATATAAATTTCAGTACATAGGAAAGGAAAACAATGAATTTCTACATAATAAGCTAACAAGAAGAGCAAAGTAAATAAGCAAACAGTGAACAGTGTGCCATTTTATCAAACTAAATTGGGTTAGTGCCACAAATGGTCCCTGCACATTATTGGTTAGTCGAATTAGTCCATCTACAAAATTTTTAATTTGTTGGATACCATTATTTTTGTGAAAGCATCAGTCCCTCCCCTGTTAGAGTTCTGATTCTGTAGACACTGCCATCTACTGGTACTACAAAGAAAATAAAACTTACTTTTAACTTTTAAGTTTTAACTGGTAATTTATTGCCACTTTAACATGAAAATAACCTCTTTGATTGATTACAAGGTAATACTGCACATTAACCCTCCCCAGCCCTGAACACTGACTAGAGCATTGTGCACTGGATTCCCTTTTTTTTTGCCACATCATCCTATATTCCTTAAATTCCATCTTCATCGTCCATCCTCTGTCTTGTGCTCATCCTCCTCCTACTCATCCTCCTACACTGCTGCAGCCACTGTTCCCCAGAGTCTTTCCCTATCTGATGCTGACTTCTTCTCTCATAGTAGCACCATGGATGGTTGGTCTACTGCTCTTCATCTTCCTCAAGCACTGCTAAAACCTTACCATCCAAGCCTTCCCCTCTCTAGCAGCAGCTTCTCAAGAAGAAGAGAAAGATAAGGATGAGATGCAAGCACTCATGATGTTACACTTACATTTCTTTTCTTTTTCACAGATTGCCATATCAGCCACTTTAGCACCCTTTGTGAGGGAGGGAGAAAAGAAATGTCAAACAATTGATGATACAGGAACCAAATTAGCTAAAGATTTTGTAGTGTTAATAACTAAATTGACCAACCAAAATTATACAAGGACCATGTGTTGCATTAAATCAACAAAACTGAGCAGATACCAGAATTAAAAACAATATAATTTGCACATAAAGAAGAAAATGAATTGCCTAGGAAAAAAAGTTGAGAGAGTGAGTTAGTGTGTGAATTTATAGTGAATACAGATGGAACTGATCACATCAAAAAAGAATACCTGGGATGATTGAAGCATATTTACACAAAAGCAAAGTTGCATAGTTCATCAGAGCAGCAGGATGGTTTTGGTCTTTTAGAAGAAGGTTTTGAAAGCATTTTGCAGAATATTCCAAATTCCCACTGGAAGTTATTACAAACCATTAGTTCTTAACCACAAAAGAATAAATGAAGCAAACAAAAGCAAGTTAAAAATAATAACACTCAGTTTTGGGGTCTGGAATTGATCCTGCAGTGATCTTATATTTGCTAAAAGTTCCTAGAAAGGTACATCAACAGATATCCCAATCCTAGCTTTATCAATGCCAATAACAAGCTCAAGAGAAAATCAACAGTTTAAGAAAAAAACAAGAAAACACTATCATAATTTTATAAACAACAGAAAGGATAATGGTAGCACTAAATAACGATGTTTTGTCGTTACCACAGAGTACATTAAGTTTGATTAGATAAAACGAAATAAGCCTATGATAGCCACCTGAATGGTAATAAGACTTACATTACCCAAAATAGAGTAAAACATTTAAGGCATGAATTTAATAATCAGATAACGAAAATGCAGACATTTAAGCAGCTTAATGAGAATAGAGTTTTCTAGAGCTGCCTCCAGAGCAAACACTCATTCGTATAAGTTCATAAAAGATAGTGTCTTTCCAATTGCAAAACAAACACTATCAAGGATTCTCTTATTAGTTTTTTGGATATTTCATCAATAATTAACCACATTAAGTATTTAATGAATACTGCAAACTGTATGATTAAGGATCAATATAAAATAAAGTGTCAATGCAATTAAAAAATCAAAAATGTGATGCCATGTAATAATGTCTGCCCAAAGAAATGATAGGAGCTTTCTGTTAGAAGTCCCCTGGCTCGAACCTATGGTGCTTAGACTCAGAACTACATCCCACCATACCCATGTCAACATGACACGGCACTAATGTCGGTAAGAGATATGAGTCCAACTCTGCTGGAATTGATGATAATTGGCCATAAATTGCTAGATTTAGTCACATGGCTAATTCATGCCAGAATCAGAAACTATAGTCATTTTGCCAAACGCAAAGGATGAAAAAGCAACAGCAAATTGAGAAAAAACAAGAGAACCAAAGAAGATGACAAAGAGAAGTGGAGATAATGTGTGCATGAGAGAGAGAAGTGAGCGAATCCAATTTGAGACTTTACTTCTTTCCCATGTTGTAAAAAAAAAGAGGAGTAAATGATTGCAAATAAATCCTATTACTCAAATTGAATAACATCAGATCCTCTCCAACTGGTTTTTCTGAAAATTACAATATTGCATCTTAATCATCCAATGATGAGAAGCATGATTTAAGAAAAATAAGAGAAAAAGAAAGGATAGGAAGAAAATAAAAGGAAAATGTCTTAATGTGAATTTAAAAATTAGTAAAACCTATTTCGATTTTGAAATCAAGGATTTAAATACTGGTTCAGTACCAACTTCAGTAACCTACCAAACTTATACAGTACTGGAATATCAAGCGATACATCAACTTGTATGCTAGGTATCATTGAATAAAATATCAAAAAAAAATAAAAATTATCAGTATTGTACTGATATCAACTATCAAGTAAAACATTTTGATACCAGTATTTGGTTGAATCAGTAAATAAATCTGAATGTCATTTAAATTCCTGTTTGAAATAAAATTTAAAATTAATCAAGCGCATATTTAAATATTATATACATCCAATCACTTTTTCTTGGACCAATGTTACCTAGTCGGACCTAGATTTGGGCTCTTTTAACTTGTATTCTTGTATCCTCAATTAGAGCAATATATATGTAACACACTAGATTCCATCTAACATTTGACACTTTGTAACTGAATCAAAGCAACGTAGGCTAGAAACTTCATTCAATACTAAAGTTCTCAAGGTTATTAGGTGGTTGCAGTTCTGTGTAAGCTGCCTAGCACCTGCACAACACACGTTTGAGATTTGTTTATGAACTAATTAGATATTATAATAATTCAACATGTTGAACTCCCTAATGAATGTTATTCCAGCTTAGAAATCTCTCTTACAATACTAATGCCCTTTACAACATGCCCTCTGCATACCAAGTACAAATTGGACAAAAAAAGTTCACTGAAGCATATTTAATCTTCAGAAGGATTTTTTATCTAAAAATGTCAAAGAACCATAGACAACAATACATACATGTCAGGACTAATGTTCAACACTAGCATGGTATATGTTGGCTAACAGACAAGAAGCCATCTACAAAATGCATATTAGAACTAGCAAAATAAAGAAATGAAGAATCAGAAACACTTCAGAAGTAGGCAAGAAAAGTTTCTATAATTTCCATACCTTTGAAGGTAAGCAATTCCAAGATTTGCTAGTGAATCCAAGTAGTCTGGAACAATTGCTAACAGAGATGATAAAACTGATATAGCACTCTGCAAAACCCAAAAAGAGAGATAGATTGTATGAAAAAATAACAATATCATGAGCATGAGTAGAAAATCTTGTCAAATAACCAGGACAAACTGTAAACTCTAAAAGGAAATAGAGCAAAACAAAGAAAAAAACCAGTTCCAACAAATGTGCACCTGCAGTCGTCCTGTTCTAAGAAGTAGTAAACCAAGCGTATTCCAAAAAGCTGCTTGTTTAGCATCAGATTCAACTGAACATTTCAACTTGACAAGAATTTCCTCTAATTCATCTCCTTCAAGCTCTTTTTCTGAACTATCCCCAGCATTTGCTAGCAAAAGGCACTGGATCACAGGAGAAAAAAGTATAGAATAGCAGAGCAGGCCATCAAAAGTTATCAATTCACAAGCTGTCAATGCAAGTTAGACAATCTATTTTTGAAAATCCAATACTTAATTAAAGGACATGCACCTGTGCATGATGTATCAGCACTAAAGAGAGCAAATCTGTTCTTTGAATTTCTTCTTCATCCTTTTGTAGTATCTCTGTTGACTTTTCAAAAGCTAATACTGCCTGAAATTTATATCAAGAGGATAAAAATACTAGCATTTTCAGTGACCTGCAAGTAAACAGTAGAGTCAAATTAACTTATCACCTTCTGTGGCTGGCCCAGTCTCTGGTACATTAGCCCAAGGACAAAGTGTGTGTGAGCATTTTTCGGCATCTTTCGCGCCATATGTACCAAACCCTACCAGTATCAATTAGCTTCATTATACACATTTTTTATGATGGGAAGTTGGTAGATATGAGATAAGAAGTCATTATCATCTGTTAAACAATGTGACGGAACAGCTAAACCTTAAATTTGCCTTCAATCTTTGTGCATTAAGAAGTGCTTTGTTTAGTAAGACTACAAGCAGTGAACAATCTTTAGATTTTGTTATAGCGTTGCAGAGAAGTGTTAAATTTGTGAGATGGGATTGCACTTCTCGCATATAAGCTCATGGTGCATACCTCCTTAAACCAGTAAAATGTTAATATGCCTCCCCCCCAAAAAAAAATTTATATCTCATCAGCATGTTTGCGGCACCTAACTTAGTAATTTGTCTATTGTCATTTGTTCACCAATTTCTTGTACAAACTTATCAAACAACTCAAAAATCTTTCTCCAAATTTGATAAATGAAAATGCATCTATTGACTTCACAAACATAGTTTCCAAATAACTATTGACCATAAAATTAATTATACTCCTTTGTCTCCTATCGGTCCAAGCATTTGACATAATAGAGCAACTATGTTTTGCCCATGATTTTTTGTGGTCCTTCAATAGGTTATTTGTGTACTCCAACTCTTTCTTTAATAGTGCAAATCTCAACTTATTTCAATAGGTTATTTGTGTACTCCAATTCTCTTTTTGTGGCCCTTCAAGAGGTTTTAATCCCCTATCATATCTTTCAATAGTTTCAATCATCTCTTTAAAACTATCTAAATGACAAGAATTAAAGAGAGTTCCAATCTAATAGAAGAAGCGAGTAATGTGTTGAATCATTCTTCCCCTTATTTCCTTATCACAAGCATGACTTATTTGTTTGTTTTAATTTTGTTCCTGTTTATCCTTGCTGATTTTGTGATTCTTGATACATATACAAGTCCATTGATCCCCTTTTGGGCTTCTTAGCAATCACAACTTTTTTTTCCTTTTTTGTCATACACTCTTTTCCCACTAGTATTGACACTTTCTAAATGATCTTTTCTTCATTATCTCTAATATATTGAACATCATCCTCGGATAAAAGCCCATAAGATTCATTCCTTTGTGTCTTTTTCTCATTCATATAAATCAATAACTCTTCTTTTACATCAGGTGGACACTTTTTGTATACCGATGCATTCTTGAAGTTTCCTAGTTGATGTTGTTTTGCATGGAAAACGCCACCTCTAGCAGTCTTCTCATAAAAAATACAACTCACTACATTATGATCCTTTAGATAATTACATTTCCAATCAGAATCCTTTCTTGAGGTTTTGACGAATCTTCTAAATTATTCTGTACACTTGTCATTATTCATGAAATATAAAAAACGATTGAATATCGAATGCAACATACGTTAAGAAATTTGTCAATAACAACATATCATGTGGTATGTTGCAAGCCTACAAAAATAGAATGCCAACTGTTCTGTTATGTTCTAAGCATAGTGTTTTCAAAAAGGGTTAAATCTGAGGCGAATGCTGACTGCTAAATAGTGTTTTTTAACCGCTGTTATGTTCCAAGCAGTGTTCAATGCAGTGTTTTCATATCAACATGATACATGTGGCTAAACAGAAATATGCTAAGTAGGTTTCTAACCAGCGCTAAAAAGTTCTAAAGAGTGGATCAATATGGCGTTAAACAATTTGAACCAGCACTAAATGGTTCTAAAGAGCATATCAATATGGTGCTAAACAGTTCTAACCAATGCTAAACAGTTCTAAAGAGGGACTTGAGAAGAGGAATAACTGATGACTGTGGTGGAAGGTTGGGGAAGGAGAGGGTGACATACGAAGCTGCGGATGAAGGTCGCAGCACTGGACGAAGGTGGTGACGGCATACAAAACTACGGACAACGCCAGACGAAAGCGACAATGATGTATGAAACTACGGACGAAGGTAGCGAACGAAACTTCGGATGAAGACAATGGTGACGAACATAGAGTTTCACTTCGGGTTTGTCTCACTTGGGGGGCGGGTTCTGTGTTAGGATACATTAGTTGGTTCGATTGAGCTAATTTGCACGTTCAATCGTACCAGGCTTGAACCCAGACCCAACTTCACTTGGGTGCTCGCTTGAGCGATTAAACCAATTTATGTGTTCAGTCGAACCAGGATTGAACCCAGACCCAACTTCACTTGGGCACTCGCTCAAGGCACTCAAGCGAGCGCCCGAGCAACGCTTCATTGAAACGCCTTGCCCAAAAGTTTTGCTAGGCGCTGGAGCCTCGCCTTGCCCAAGCACCTATTGAAAACGCTGCACCTAAGAATTGATAACATGAAAAAATGGTGGAAAAGAGAAACTAAAAGCTATAAGGACAATGGATATTGTTAATAGGAAAGATTCTAGACATGAAAAACAAGGTGATCGCTATTTGGTCTAAGCCACCAAACCATGGTGAGAACCATGGTTTCAGAAACCAATCAGACCTGCGCACACCTTGCTGGATTTTACTAGTCGGATAAAAAATCGACACATCGGGACCTGCATATTGATGGGTACAATGTGTCAGTATGCTGGTACGAAACAGACTCATACCATCCAACCAGGGACCAGTATGGGTCCTATATGGCAAGAACCACACTAAGATCAATGGTGTAGTTTGGATCTTGAGAATAATAGTGTCAATTAAAAATTAAACTAACAAAAGGAAACTTATACTTCATACTCAATATTGGTAAATACTATTTCAGCCTCAACATATTAAAAAAAGCAAACTGATGCATTAATAAAGATGAGAAACTCACAGCTTTCAGACTACTGACTTTTTCCTCACGAGACACAGAAACTCCTTGACAATGTTGATCAAGATCTGTGTAGTTTCCAGAAACTCAGAAGTAATCTTGGATTTCATATGAGATAGCCAGATATTGGTAAGAACTATACCTTCACCATCGATGATATCAGAATCTCTGATAATCGCTGCACTGTTGACTGTACTGCTCTCATCCATGCTGTTCCTGAAGATTTTTGTAGTAATAAAACAATGTTAGAATACCTTCCCAAACTGCAAGCTAAAAGAAGAAAAGCAACAAGACTTTTAAGACTTCTGCAGTGGTAAATGCCAACCAATTTATAAATAAAAATAGACATGTCAAACCTAGACACGACTATTCAAGTTTCAACCACCAAAAGGGTTGTCCAGCCTTTATATAAAGGTTGTCCAGGACCATAGAAGATGGGATATGGTTGAACTTCCACAGCCTCAAGATGCATGTTTGAAGTCCTATTCTTACAGAGACAGTATATGGATTACTTTAGAAGACCTTGGAGATGATTTCTAAGGTCAACAAGAAATCCCAGATGGATTAAGAGAAGAAATCTTTGTTATTCTTGGACTGATTTTCATAGTTAATTCTAGTATTTACTTAGTTATACCCAAACTGTCCTTGCCAGAGCCTACCTTGGCCAGCAAAGACAAAGGTCTCTGGATCTAAGTTGGGTCCAGATGACACAACAGCAATGCCTTCCTGAGACCATGGAGGACCTGGATCATGCTACCAGATCTCTTTGACCATCGCTATCTTTCTCCTTCACATTATGAGGAATCATGTAGAAAACATCATACATTAAAGAAGAAAGTTCACATTGGATTGAGCCAAACATTGGACTCAACATTTTTGTGTGGACAACTTGATGAAAATATTTTCAACTGCAGCTAAATTGTTGGTAAGATCAAAGATTGTTGTACTGACCAACACATGTCAATATGTTGAAACATGTTGAGATTGTGCCATGCAGAAGGGTGTAACGACGTGTAGAACCAGACAAGCAAGATTTTATGGGAATTGAAGAAAAGCTACTCTCAAATGGTCAAAAGGACGTAAAGCTTCCTGAAATTTCTTTGCAACAGAAACACTTCTTGATGATCTACTACCACAACTTTTGCATCACATTTTGTGATGTTGACATCTAACATCATATGAAGAAAAGGAAAGCAATGAAAAACAAAGTAATATTGCAACATAATCATAGATTGAAGGTGGGGAAGTTGTAGAGGATTATAGGCTTACAATTTCAAAATAAAATAGTTTCCATGATTATTTAGAAGGTCATTCAAATTATTCTAAAATTCAGAGAACAATTTAAATAAATTATGGACATGATTATTATTTCAATATTGTCTATTATTAAGTAATTAAGGCACCAAGGCATATATTTAGTCATGTATCCAATGTGACAAGCAAGTTGGCAAAATTGGACAACACTGAGTCATCTGGTTCTGTGCCACTAAAGAACACAAAGAGGACAGCAACTCACAAAATTTCGTGTAATCCAAATCATAGATTGTTTGCAATCCAAAACACGAAAATCAACATTCCAACTAGTCCCATAAGAAACTAAAAGGAAAAGGAAAAAAGAATGACACAAAGCATAAGAGGAAATCGAAAGAAGAAAGAAAAATGATGTACAAAAGAAGGCCTATTGGAATCTATGATTTCAATAGATTTCTCCCTCAATAATTTTAGGGGCACACTGCCAAATAGACCTTTACTCATTTGGTCTATTGAAATCTATTTAGATATCACAAAGTTTATCGTAATGACATGTGCATTTAAAAAACTTGGATAGAAATATACGATGAGCATATGCTAGTTAATTCCCTTACACATGCTTCTCAATTAAATAGTACATGGATTTGTGTTCCAACAAATAGGAAAGGCATAGGTAACAGAATCAAGGGTATCTCAAAAAAAAGATATCTAAAATATTGTCTTATTAAAAAGGGTACCAAGAGGCATCGCCAATTCCATTTTCCATTTCTAGAACAAGGATGAGAAACTGATTATTTATTTTTTCAACATGAATGTGGCGTGAACTGAGATTGAGGTGGTCATTTCTTTGGAGCAAGCTCGCTGCAAATTGTGCACAATCAGAAGGTTATCCTTCTAATTAAAACCCCTTTTTTTTTACAGATTAATTAGTCTCTCTCATCTCCTTGCACTGATCTGTGCAAATCTATAAGAAGCACTATGAGTTACAATGTCTTACAAACCATTTCTCAACATATCCAAAGATTTCAAAAATGGAACACACGTAGAACCTACGATTCGAACAGTTTATTATGCCCGGTAGAACAGATGATCAACTCTATCAATGAATGCCTACATTTTCACTAAGAAGTACAAGATTCAGAAACTGATGTGACAAGCTCCTGAACTTATCATTCTTAATATATGGAAAGAGAAAGAAAATCACCAACTTTTAACAAACTATTGAAACTAATTGTCCTTCGCCAGCGGTGGATAAATCAAACACGTTGGACATATAACTCAGTGGAAGTAACCGAGCGGTAATCGATCGAACTAGTCATGCATACCATGAAAAAGAGAGCTTACAGGACGGCAAAGAAACAATACGAAGGAAAGGAGAAGATTAGAAACCTATCAAACCTGGGGATAGAGTGGGGGACGGAGTCGAGCGCGCAGTCCTCACCGTCGCTCTCGGGAGGATCGACGTTGAGGTCGGCGATGATGACCGGTCTCGAGGGCGGCGGTCTCTTCATCACCTCTTCCGGTTTGGCCTGATTCTCGCCAACGACCGGCTCCCCGTTGGCCACTGGCTGCGATTCCGACATCTCTCTTCGTCTTCTTCGCTCACAGATTTCCTCTCTCTCTCTCTCTCCAAAACCTCGACAAGGGTTACGGGGTTTGGGGACACCGACCACCGAGTTCGATTCCAAGATTACACGCCCCGACTCACCCTCCGTTCACCCTCCCACTTGGATGGGCCGATGGCGTCGCACGTGTGCCAGTGATCGGGTGCACCGTCGGGTGTCGGTCAAAATCTGTCGATTAATTGAGTTAGGGTTAACAAATAAGGTGTGCGACAGAATAAACCAATTGGTTCGGGGTGTCAAGTCAACCCGATAACCCGATAGTCCAATCGAACCCGCTCCGGTAAGTCAAGCACGGATCCTAAAACTGGATCCATCGTTGGGTCATATGTGGATCTATAACATCGTGTATGATCCGAATTCGAGTTTCGTATTCAGTCATGCATTGTGGCCGTTCACTCGCTGGAATGCTTTGATAGAATGAATGAAGCAAAATAGAAATGATAGCTATAATGACAAGTAAATACATTTTATATAAAATCTAAGTGGATGAGAGAAAAATTTATTGTAGACAAAGATTTTAAGGAAAAAACTTGAGTACTAGAATTTGTAGTAGAAAAAGAGATGTAGAATTTGTAAATGTTAATGCACCTCAAATTGGATTAGGTAATAGAAGGAACAATTTACTAGGGAGAAGAACAAAGAGGGAGGCATCACATGGCTTTATAATTATTAGAAAGATGGTGAAGAAAGTAATATACAAAAAAAATTGGACATACTTATGAACACAATAGATGATCTTCTTGCAATTGCAATCTCTTGTAGAATTAATTGTATTGTTTGATCTGTCAAAAATTAAGCAGGTACAAAAACTAAGCCTCCAAAGTTTTGACTGAGCATCATACAGCAGTTGTGGAGTTCATCATGCCAGATTAATGTTCAATACAACCTGCCTAAATAGATATCAATAAACAAATTGCAACACCAAAACCTTCTGCAACAAAATCTGCTGGCTTCCTGTCAAGAACAGTCCAGTCTCCTAGAGAGCTTTGTGCTGAAAAATGTACAAACAAAATGTTGTCCAACCTTTGACAACACTTTAATTCTCGATGCCAACCACTTGATAAAAAAGAAAGGAAATAAAAGAACAGAAAAACAGTACCAGTAGGCCGACATTTCAAGAATATAGGAAGATAGTACAACCTAAGAATAAGATCACTAATGAAAGCATGAGAGTTCCAAATATGAGCAGCAGTAGGAGAGGCACATCTCCCTCTGATAAACATCAATTCTTTTTTAAGTAACAAATTGAAGTAAAGAGTCATACAAAACTTGAAGGTATAAATGCCTCCCAACTTATTCAAAACATCAAAGATGAAGGATCCCTAGATAGGGAAATGGTTTAAACTTAGGAGACCCTCTTGACACTTTTAACATGAAAATGCCATTGGTAAAATAAACAAGCCTGATCAATACTTGTAGTCCTTGACATGGAGGCTCTCTGAGACACCTTCACCTCCAGCAGCGTCACCCTTGTATGTCCCCAGTGTTGCCTCAGAGTTTGCCTTGCACCTTGCAAGGAAAGCAGTCCTTGCCTTGTCAATGTTCCCCTCCTTCCCAGCCCATGCCTTGAGTGTACTTTGCTGCAGAGCCCGACCGAACGAGAAGGAAAGTGACCATGGCTTCTTTCCCTTCAGCTTGTTCATAGCATTCAGGTTCAGGGTAGCCTCCTCTTCACTCTGTCCTCCTGAAAGGAAGACGATTGCAGGGACAGCAGGAGGAACAGTCCTCTGGAGAGCACGCACCGTATGCTCCGCAACCACCTCAGGAGCCACTTTTGCTGATTCTGACCCTGGTGTCACCATGTTAGGCTTCAACAGAGTTCCTTCCAGAAGAACGTGATGGTCATTTAGTGCCTTGTAGCATGCAGCAAGCACCCGCTCTGTAACATCGGCACATTTCTTGATATCATGTGGCCCATCAACAAGGATCTCTGGCTCTACAATTGGGACGAGACCATTCTCCTGACAGATGATAGCATAGCGTGCCAACCCATCAGCATTTGCATTGATCGACAGTTGTGAAGGCTCATTTGGACCAATCTTGAGGACAGCCCTCCATTTGGCAAAGCGAGCCCCTGCTTCATAGTATTTCTTGCAACGCTTGCCAAGGTCATCATGACCCTGGGTAGTGGTCTCACCATTGGTACCAGCAAGTTCAATGGTGCCCTTGTCTACCTTGATACCTGGCAGGACTCCACCCTCCTTGAGGACTTCAACAAAAGGCTTCCCATTGGCTGTCTTCTGGTAGAGGGTCTCCTCAAAGAGGATGGCACCACTGAGGTATTGGAGGGCACCAGGGGTGCAGAAAAGAAGCTCACGAAGAGCACGGCGGTTTTCCTCGACATTCTCCACATTGATACTAGCAAGGCGCTTGCCTATCGTGCCAGTGGACTCATCAGCAGCAAGGATACCCTTGCCTGGGGTGCCAATGTAGGTAGCATTAGCAATAAGCTCATCTGCAAGATGAAGAAACACAAGCTTGTAATCATTACATGCAAGAATATACAGTCATACAACAATAACAAAAAGAGCACATTGGGATGACTTATTATCTTCAACTAAAAAGAATTTCTATTTATGTCCTAGGCATGTTAAAAAGAACTATAAATATCCAAAATTCTAAATTTTAGTAGTTCTCAAAGGAAAGACAGACTAAATGGAGAAGACCATGCACCATCCATCTATAACTTCAATTGCTAAGTCATCAAGACAATTTACCTTTCTTCTTGCAATAAATGCCGGAGTAAATTGATCATGTAACTGCTGGATGGACCAATTGGAACCATATTTAGTAAGCTATTCTAGTGTTAATATGATACTGAAAGGCTATGGCCAACTTCTAAAACATCTCACTATAGCATCTCAAAGCATTCAGACCACATGCATTTAACAGTTTCTTAATAGTTAAACAATCATTGCAAAATTTGACAAGATTAGTACAGCCACAAAGCTTAAGTTGGTCAGAAAACAAAGAAGAACAATTATGCACTCACAATCGCACCAACGTATAATTCTAAAGAGAAGCAGTACAAAAAAGGATTATATATGCCATCAAATATAACATCTCAATGTAAAAATAAATTTAACCTTCTTGGAGTTGATTAGCCTGCACTGATCACTCTATAACATTACATCTACAGCATGAATGATAAATCAAAAACATGATCACCACTGGTCTTCCGACAGTGTAATTTATATATGATTGTTTGATCACCACACTTAACACCTAAGAGACCCCATCATCCATAATGCTGAATACATGAAATAGCAGCTGTAGACCCCTGGACTCCCGGACATGGTAAACAATTAGCATATGCAGAACATGTAGCCAATCGTGCAGATAATGTGAGGGTATGTTAATATGCCACCGATGGAAGATGATCGAGAATGGTAAGATTGCATTAATATCTTAAGCATAAGAGGAGACTTACTATATTACTCTCAGAAAATTTACCTGTTTCCTATTACATATTACTCAATTAGGTTCATGAATGAATACATACATCATCCTACTTTAAGTGAATTCCATATTTGCTTGATAACTTCCATAACCTACTTTAACTTAAACATGGTCCGATACCTAATCAAACATACTTCTGGAATACAATACACAAATCCAAGAGCATGTTATCTAGATTTGGACTGAGGATGTTCTTACATAATAACTCAGAACACCAGAATCAAACAACCTTGGGTCACATGCAACAAAGACTTAGAAGCTTCCAAAAGTGAAACAAGGATCAAATAAACAAAATCTATAAAATTGCCAAATTCAGTCAATTATTTAGCAAATGACCAACTAGATTTTCCAACAACCATTTAAAGAAAATTTAGCAGTTAAATCAGGAAAACACAAACTGGAACGAAGGAAAGAAGGCATTCCATAACCGAGGTTCTTTGGCTGTCTAATTGCGTGAGGTGAAAGTGTTTATTAGTAACGGTGACCACACCGAGAAAATAAAATTTAAGATTTCTAGGTGTTTCAATGTAACGTAGACAACTAAACCAATTTTCGCCATTAAAATTTACAGTATAGAGATGAGGATGGTTCGGGATAAACAACGGCAAAATGGATCAAAAGCTGTGCATAGGATCAACAAATGAATCAAAGAAAAAAGTAGAGTTGTTGTGCTCATGACACAAAGATTAGATAAAATAATTATTTATATAGGGGGGACATGTTGAGAGCAAAAAGAAACCTATCTTTCTCACCGTTAGCCTCAGTTATACTCAAGTAACAGAGAAAAAAAAAAAAGGACCAAAAGTCGAAAAGGCACCCTTTGAAAGCAGACCCAGGAAAAAGAACAACAAAGCAAGATCATCAATAGAACTACGACACTCGAAGAATAGCATCAAAAGTTAGATAAACAAACAGACGCTCAAGAACAAACAAAAACACAAATTTTACGTGAAAGATAGTTCAGATCTGAATCGAACAATAACCAAAGAATCAATAACCATCTCGAATCCAACGAGACACGACAAGATCCCCAAACGCACATCGATGTCTTAGTTTAAAGGAAACAGTGAGTTCACAAGGAAGAAGGAAGGGCGACGGAATCTAAAGAGATTATACCGTGGTATTGGCCGCAGTAGGCAGACATCTTCGAACTCGGGAATTATCGGAAGAAGAAGAAAGATTACAGCGAGCGAGATAGAGCGCAGAGGAGAGTCGCAACGAGGAAGGATGGGGGAGGGGGTTTGCAGGTATAAGTAGGAGGAGGTCGAGGTCGAGGTCGAGGTCGATGGTGTCGGTGTTGATGCGATTGGCTCGGGTAAGGTGTCAGGTTTGGGGCAGAGGGAGTGCGAGATGGCAGCCCTTCGACGGTTTGGTCAATACTTGTGGCCGCCGCTTGCGGCTGCGGTATTCGTTCCTTATAACAGACGCTACGCTCACCAGCCGGCTGTGCAAACCCGCATCGGTCAGGTGAGCCATAACGTTACGAGTCATATAACGTGGATATACCAGAACCGTTATATATCTTTTTATCAGACCGTTATATGGTCTGTAATGTGCAGGCATGATATGATTTTTATTTTTAAGAATTCTCAGAACAATTTTAAGATAATAAAAAAATAAATAGTGAAATATATTTGTCACTCTGAAAATTTTATAGGATAATCTGACAACTTTTTTATTGTTTCCATACAAAAGGTTCATAAATAATATTTTTGAGTAATTTTAACTTCCATGAATAAAAAGAAAAAAAAGAAAGAAAAAAATAACTCCAACAAGTCAAGTGAATGAAACATCTAATGCATCAACACAGTACAAATAATCCAAAAGAGAAAAAAAAGAAAAGGTAGTAATTTTAACATGATTAGTAGGTTACACGTCCCATCCATCAAAAAGAGTGCTTATGGATGAATGAGATAGGAAGATTCCAAGGCAAGAACAAAGCTTGAGATGAGAATACATCTTGAAAGTGCTGCCAAAGTTAACATGACTATGGTAGGGTTTTGTCTCATCAGTTTCAAAAACTGCTAAGGTTCTTCAACATTTGGTCAAAAGTTCCTCCACTGGTCATATAAGGTGGTGGGAATCTTGTCATACTTGAACAATCTGAAATGACATGTTGGTAAATCATCAAGTCAAAGTCTATTATGGCATATGGACAATATCACAGTAGGAGACTAGTGGAAGAAGAAAAAAAGATTCAGTTGGAGATCTGACCAAGTTTTAGTTTTGCAAGTTGATCTTTATCCCAAGCTTCTATTTTTCTTGATCCTGATAACTTAGCAATTGTTACTTTGTAGCAGCCACACTGCCATTTTGAGTCTGCAACTAATGAAAAGAAAGAGTAGAAGACAGACTTTGAATTCTGATCCTACTCAAAACTTGTATATTATAACTACAAGCTTCTGACAATATATATGCATGCATGTCAAATAATTAATCCTTGATGACACCAAACTGGCCTATTTATCAAAACATGTTCACTGAAGAATATAAGCCATCAGCAGCCTATCAGATAAAGTTTTAACCCCAGCAGAACATAACAAGGTATCAATTCATTCATCCAACACCTTGATCAGGTCCCATTTACAAAGAAATAAGGACTGGTTTAATAAAAATACCAAGTCATGACCAATTCACAAAACACAAATGGGTAAAACAGTTGCCTGCAAATTCCAACATCACTCTTTGGACCGTCAACAAAAAACATCATAAATCATCAGTCGCGTGGTCTTCCTGGAGTAGTGAGACTGAACACCCACATTCTACTTTTTGGTCATTCTTGCTGCAGCATCTTCTTTTTTTTCTTTATCGTGCAGTAATAACTTCTGGATCCTCAAGGACCTGACAAACCAGACAATTCAGAGGCATTAAGGAGAGCAAACAATCTTGAACATCCATATCAAGACCCATAAGCTCATGATTACATCGAGTATATTGAGCTATCACATGGAAATGGCATTAACTGGAGGAAACTTGATGTGGTAGAGTACGGGGAATGATCACACTGTCCCTGCTTACAGCTTTTGAAGCAGCAATTTCTTCAAGGCGCTTCCATGTGGCTTCACGTTTCATTATGTATTGCTTGTCTTTAGCTTCATCTTCCTCAAACTTCTTCAAGCACTCCGCAACCAGTTCAGGATCATGATCAGAGAAAATCTTCCGGACATTGAGTGTGAGGCTCTGAACAGCTTGGTTCCAGTGGCTCCTTGTGTTTCTTTCCAATGCTGGAAAGATGATTGGTAGTATTACCTTATTATTTTGTTTGATCAGGTTTTCAATATGATCGTTGTTCCAAAGGAACAATGCTCTTTCTGCTACCTGCATAAGGAGCAACAAAGACTTAAAGAGCAAGTTTACATAATCAGAGAACTTGACCTCAAAACAGGAAAACATGCACCACCAAGATCTTCAAACTATACTCAAATTTTATGGCAAATGGCATGCAGAGGTCTATATTATAAAAAAAACATCTTGCTACACCCCAGTTAACATTTTGGGGACTATAAGTACCAAAAGAACTAGGCTAACTGATATCCTAGTTAAATTTAATAAAAAATTATGACAAACCTCTCTAGTTCTTTTATAAATTTATATCACATGTATTTTAAGTCTAATCATCAACCATGGACATAAATTCTTTGTCCTAATTGAAGTACACTGGAAAGATATACCTCAAAGTTGGATTGTGTGTAGCATCTCATTAAATAATGCAAAATAGTGAGATTGTTCGACCGGCGAACTATCCATTCTACAGCTATCCTAAAATTGGGCCCAGTAGCATCTTCCAAAACCTTTCATCTATAAAAAAATATCAAATTTAAAAAAATTTAAGAACTAGAGATTTCTTAAGAGAAACTATCGAATTGAATCAATTTTTTAATGTGAAAAATTCGCAGAGTGATGTGTGATGTATACAGCAACATATAAAAACAATTCCTATATGCATGGCAGCAATAGATGTACACAAGATTCTTCAGATAAAGGAGGCAATGCCATTGACCTGAAGATACACAAAGTGGTCCTACATGTATTACAGTTTATAGCATATATCTAAAGCTGATGCTTCTATTCTTCTATCCTGGTTTAGGTGGAGGAAACAATAAACTGAGCCAAGCTAAGATAGGTACAGACCAACCAATTGCTCTTTTCTCTTTTTTTTTCAGTTGCCGGTGTGGGACTTAAATTCAATAATATCATCAAAAGCAACACATCTTTTCTGTATACATGCTGGTGCATGATAACATCATAGTAAGCAAATAAGCAATGCTATGACTGAACACATGATCAGACTAATTTTATCTTTTTGAAGGGCTATTCTTCAGGTAATTAATCTAGACCTTCTAAGTTCTAGGGATGGTTAAGGTGTAAAATTTTACTAGTGTCACCCACAGTTCATGCATGTACAAAGACTGAGCTACAGATGTCAGTTGGACATTTATATAGTTTCAGTTGGAAACCCTACACGACTATATTTGCAACAAATTCCTCCATATCAGTATCATTAAAGTTTCTAGTTGAGACTTTACATCATATAATAATAGCAAGACTTCATAATCCACAATAAATTATTTCTATAAGAAAAGATCAATTAGTTGCTGAACCATTGATAATCCCATATGCAATATGATTGAAGATATGTATTATTATTGATATTGTCACCTAAGGGACAAATTCCATATATCGTGTAAATGGTGATATATCATCCAAACTAATAAATATTAAAGGATCTATATAGACACCTTCAGTCGTTGATGGGGCAGGTTTAAGCCCACCAAGGAATCATCTAGGCATCTTTGTGGACAACGAATATCCCATGAAGAAGGTTCAATGAAAAAATAAAACAAGCAAAGATAAAATTATTGCTCAGCAACCAATTGTTTTTTTTCTTGTTTTTTGTTCTGGTTGGGATTGGGTGGGTTGAGAAGGAAGGGTCATTGATTTGATATATCATCAGAATTAACAAACTATGTCTGTATACTTAGTAATATATGACAGAATCAGAACAACCAATTTTGGAGTTCCAATAATTTATCACAAGAACTTACATTGTGAGTTCAACAGCTATCCTTCAAGCTAACCAATTTAAAATTTTGGGAATGGTAAACATGACAAATGCACTAGTGCGATCCACAATAAAGCATACACAGCGAGATAGGATATGCTATTGATACTTGAGATAGTTTCAATTATAACTTCAGTACCACTGCAGTTACAACGTATTCCTCCATAGCATTGTCATTCATTAGAATTTATAGCTGAGAATTTTTTTACCATATCTTAATCACAAGACTTCATAATTTGCAAAAAAAAATATGATATGAGAAAGATCAACTTCTTGTGCAATTATTAAAAATCCCATACGTAATATGTTTAATAACACTGCTTTTATCACATGCTGGATGAATCCTTTAAAAATCTTGAAAAAGGTGGTATTCTGTCCAGATTGTAAATCTAAAAGGATCTTTATGGATACCTTAATAACTGATGGGTAGCTTCAAGCCCATAAAGAAATCATCTAGTGTAAATATCGAAGATGCCATGCAAAAGGTTCAATCAATGAAAACAGAGCTGGTTGTGTAACACATAAAATGAATATCTTAATAGTACATCTTAAATATAAGCATCTCTTCTGATAAGCATATATCTTAATCAGTTCAAGGCAAGATTCTGCAAGTTTTTAGTCATACATACTCCAAGAACTAATATTTATAAGTAATTGTAAGGTCTTACTAGGTCTAGGTGGCTGCATTCTTCAAGGTTTTGATGACATATTTATATGTTGTTATTTACATGGTCATCAAAAAGAAAGTATGAACCCAACACAAATCAACAAATTGTAATATGCTAGCAAAGGATTTCAGTGTTTCAATAGCTAATCTATCAAGACTCCTTGGAATAGTTAAATTTAATTTTAAAAGTGTAGAATCAAGCCCCAAAGGTACTTACTGATATGTACAAATATTCATTACTCAGATTGTTATTGGGCAGAATATTGCAAATTCTATGAAATTATAGCCATTGGGTAGAATATTGCAATGGATGTTGTATTTGTGAACCTTCAAATGATGTTCCACTCTGCACTAAGAATGTTCAAGTTTTAGGGATCATTGACTTAGCATATTTGTAACCATTTTGCTCCAACTATCATAAATGCTAGCATAACAAGTACCAGTGCATGTTCAATTTTCATATAACTTACTCAAACAGAAGCAGTAAACATAAGAATAACAAGTTGTTGTAAAACCCGACTATTTGATGTCATCTGGGTTTTTAACCCATTGAGCTCAGCTAAAGGTGACATCACTAGTCAAATTAAAAGCATCTCAAATCCCTTGTTGTTTCTAATACAAGACCTTTCAGGTCTACTCTTCTATTTCTATTCTAACTCATTTTAACCCCATATATTCATCTCAATATTATCACACTGACATTTACGTGTCAATATGCTATCTCAGTATCTCCCAAATGTCCACCATTCTAAAAGTATATTGAAGTTTGTAACATTTTAGATTTCCTTTTTCAATTTAAGTGGCACATAACACTCACAAAACACATTGAGATCCTCTCTTTATACAAACCATCCTACTTTAATCCTATGAACAACAGCTTCTTCAAATTTCTCTTCCTATTCAACAATATAATTCCAGCATAAAAAATGCTCATGTGATTGTGCTTGTGTTCATAATCAATTGATGATGTAATAATTTATGATCATGAACAATTGTGACGGATTGATGATCATGAACACAAGCACAATCTGCACAATTCATATTGAATTATATATACTTAATTCTCATTTCTCAATATCTTAAGCATGCTTTACTAAATCAATATTATCTTGCATTTCATCTACTTCCTTGTGAAATGAACCATTAAGAACCAACTGAGCCGCTATAATATCAATCAATAATAAACATTCCTAGAAATCACAAAAGCAGAGTTTCAGTTTAAGGAGGTTTTGGCCCCTGCAAACTTGATATCAAAGTGAAGTCTCAACATTTCCAAAAGTATCAGATTATAGAAACTGGATAGAGATAGTGATATTAGAAAGCCTATAAGGCTTAGTGGACATACCCTAGTATAAAAAGACAGAATAAGAAGTGGGTAGCAAAGTAGAGTATGCAAATTCATCAAAACTCCACCTGAAAACTGACCTCACCAAGTGCAGTAGAGTAAATATGTGACAAGAAAATGAATTGTTAATCAACCTAAAGTATCACACTGAAGTTACAGATATGTCATTGCATAGCCATACAATATCATTTAAGGTGCCAACCTAGAAAAACCTTGAAAGATCAAATCAATCCACCTTATGGAGACTATAAACAAAGCCTCAAAGAGAGAGAGAGAGAGAATTTGCCTCAAAAATTAAGATATGTTACTCAATAGCTTTTTTTTCACAAGAAAAAGAGGATTTGCCTTAAAAAAGGTAAAAAAAAAAACTTAAAGCAGGAAAATATCAACAGAATGATGCACAAAGTACATGTACCAGTGCATAATTTGGAATTAGTTCTGAAAGCTGAAAGGATTACTACCTGAAAGTGAGAACTGTTCAAACATCGAGCAATCTGGCGGAATAATGGAACCATACACCTCTGAAAATCTGCAGGCTGAGTTGCTTCTAGGACCTCTTCTAACTCCCCCAAGAACATGACTTCCTTTGAACTATTTGTAACAGGCCAGTACTTCAGCAAGCCCCTTATAACAGTATCCACAAGTTTGCAATCCTTTTCAATAAATTGAGTTATGGAATATGATAACTGCTGATGGTACATACCAATGCACCTTGGCTTGTGAAGTGGGATTAGTGCACGCACAAGGAACAATTTATGCTCTTCCTTTAAAGGCAAAGCAAATCCACTGATTATACTTCCTAAAATCTCCAAAAGCTCTGCAATTCCATTGTGCTTTTCTGTTTCGAAGATAAACCGATAAAAGATGTTGTTAATAGCCTTTCTGATAAATGGACGGTGCACCATAAATTTACCATAAACACGGTGAAGTATCGTCTTTAGGTAGTCCCTCTCTCTGGGGTCTTCAGAATCAAAGAGATCAAGGAGCTTAAGAACAAAGGAGTGATCTATATATCTTTTTGCTAACTTAGCATCGGTCTCTGGAGATGCAACAAACCGTAGAAATAACTCATAGACAATCTGTAAGTGTGTCCATGCAGGGTCCATTACAGGTTCCTCCTCTTCTGCATCAATTTTTTCCAAAACCATGTGTTCTCGAGGTGGAATAGTTAGATTCCTAAACAAGTTGATGGACACCATCTTGGTTGTCTCTTGCATGACAGTCTCTGGAAACTTCCCACTTGCTGAACTCACATAGTCAACAAGCTCTAACAGCGTCTGTCGCTTTATGTCTTTCTCTTTCAAGTTCTTTGATGGGTCAGTAAAGTCAAACACGACAGAGCATAAGTCCAACTTTCGCATGAACAAGATCTGCTTCTCAGAATTAGGGACATCCTTAAAGCTCGGCAATGCTTCGTAGACAGGGATTACACAATTTCCATTAAGCTTCAAATTAACAGGTGGAGCATATTTGTTTAGATTATTTAACCCAGGACTCAATCCAGGAGGGACCTGACTGCTTGGGTTTGTGATCTTACTGGTTTGCAAGTCCCCACTTCTTGAGCTGCTTGAAGATGACGACGGAGGCACTGACCCACCAACTGAATCTCGACTATCTGACGACTTTGATGGCTTTCGAGGGAGACGATTTAGTATCTGCTTAATCATGCTTGAACACTGGCTATTAAGTCAAAGAATAATACAGACTTCGATGCCTTAAAAATGTCTCCCAGGGTTGAATCTGTTATGAACAATAAGTTTCTTGGCTGGTCGATGCTATTTACAGCCTCATATTCCTCCCTTCCCCATCTTCCATTAGATAACAAAATGGGGCAATTTTTGATATGTTCCTATGCCAGTTCCATATTCAGGACAAAGATGACTTTTTTCTTTCACCTAAAACAGTTTTCCAAAGAAATCCACGATCAACGGGACAAATTTCACACGCAAAAACCCAATAGCAAGCAGGGATCAAACAAAAAACGTGAAACAAAAAAAGATCTACCGTTTCGGGATGCAGCTTATCTCGATTAGTTAGACTGCCATCTCCGCTGCAATCAAACAACACCGCCCCAGCGACAAAATCAACTGCAAAACCCAATTCGACCAAGAAACCAAATTTCCCCGCTCGCCCCCAAACACGACTTAAAGGGCCGAAGCAACCCGGCGACGGTCTGAAGCGATCGAGATGGCTTTTCCAAGCAAGAATTGAAAAGACCACGCACCCAATCAGGCAAAGTCAAAGACGAAGGACGATCAAAAGATAAGCCTTTCCCTAATCGAAGGCGACACGACCCAATTGCAGAGAGGAAGAAGGGAAAAGAACAAAAAAAAAAAAAAACCCTACCTCTCTCCCTTCGGTACTCGAAGATGCGGTCTTTCCTACTCTCGCTTCTGCATCGGCCTCTGCTCCAATTGGAAGACGAAGAAGGGAGGGGAAGGAGCGACGACGTAGACTCTCGAGTGGTTTCTTTCTTGCCCCTCGCTTGGTTCCCAATCTATGCGATCGTTCGCCGAGCCAATTGTGACGGCCAAAAGAAACATCCCAAAACTTCGAGTTCTCCAAATGCTCGGGTCTTTGAGCCAAGAAAAGTCATGTCTCCTCAAATGGTGGAGCCCATCCGCCACCTCACCTTCCTTTCCCCTGATTGGATGTTCCAAGATTATTAGTTGTTTCCAAAACATTATTCTCAGAGCAACTGTTGAGGGAATAATTGCATGATTGAGTATATCACTTAATTCTATAAGAAACAACATTCTTACCATTTGCCTTTATCAAATCAAATCTGATAGCCAAGAAGAGAGAGAGAGAGAGAAGTGAAGAGAGGAAAAGGTTGCATCTCATGAGGCTCAATAATGGTCCACCTTCCCTTTTGGTTACAGTTTGCACATGTGCTTCCTTCATGTGTCTTCAATCTCAAGTAACTCAAAGATAACATCATTCAAAAGTTGCCAATTTAGAACTTTTTTTCTTTCTATAAATATTAAATGATGAAGACAAGATAATTTTTTTGTAAGCTAAATTAGTGCATTTTGATTTTTCTTTATCAATAAATATAAATATATTTGAAGTATCCATAGTAATTTTTAATGTCATACTTATCTTTCAAAGGACATTAATGTAAATTATGAGTTTCTATTAAAATTAACTATATATATATATGTTAGATTTAAATTTAGAAAGATAAGTAAGAATATAATCAGCTTTTTTTTAATACATAAATATATGATTTTATCAGAAAGAAAAAAAATCAGTCCATCTTAAATATTAAGCCAAAAATTTAGATTTACCTATTTTTATTCCGATACAAGAATACATATTTCATATTTATGGGGATACAATGTATGTATACTTCACTCATACATTAATAGGGGAAATGCTCCCACACTCAAATCGGTGGCTTTCTCATCAGATCGACATATGTTTTCACATACATCATATGGATCATCAGATACCTGTAGATGATGGATGATTCGAAGGTTTTACCTCACCACACCATAGTCTTTATTCATGACAATTATGTTTATCCAAGTAGAGATTTACTGAAATACACAATAAATTACCTCCTAATCCACAATTCACAAATAATTATGTTATATTTATCACAAAGGAAACCTACTTCACAAAACAATAATTCTCCATCGGAATAGATCAGAGAGAGAAGAATCCTTAGCAGAAGAGAATAATCATATTTATGTGTGCTGATGTAGTAAAGATGAATGCTACACTAAAACGACAAGAAGCTTCTTACCCATGTGAATGAAGTGAGATACCAATGAATCAACCATAATGGTTTATAATATGATTACAAAATATTTCTCTGGCACTAAAGGAGACAGCATCTGATAAATTAGTGCTACAGAATTTGGTAAAATTGGATAACTGACAAATCATCTATTGCATTCTCCATATATATATATCAGAGATTTTTAAAGTAGAAATTTAAGACAAGTACAACTTGTTAATTGCTTCAAATGACATAACATAATAGACAAAGAGTATAATTCTTTTTTATAACAGAGCATAACCTGGTGGCATGGGACTTTGAAGTTTGTTCAAATGGTCAAGCTCCGGTGAGATACTTGGATGGTTAAGATGCTGTGTGCAGTTAAAGAATTAGAAAATTATAAATTTTAGAAAAATTATTGTTAAAGGTGCAAAGAGAGAGAAAGCTATACCCTGCCTTCTCTGATGATTTGATTTCTATAGTTTTCAACAAGCAATCTGGTAATAATACCTGTTTTCCCGTCAGTCCTAGCTCAGGTTCAAGCTCTTCATCTGCAAGCAACTCATGCATGGAAGCTGGAGTTTCATTTGATTTCTTTCTTAGATACAAGTTTTCCTTTCTTTGTCCCATGTGGAAAATGCTTGAAGTCACTGGAATCAGATCCTCTAGCCATGACTTAGTCTTTAGCCAGATCCCCAGGGCATGTTTGTGCTCCACTTGTTTACCAGAAACCTGCACCTCAAGACAGACAGCAAGGATGGATAAGTAGATTCTGATGCAACTTCTTATTATGGAGTTGTGACAAGAAATTAAATAGATGACAAGCATCATTAGATTACCTGGAGCAATATTTCAGCATCCTGATCTCCCTTGTGCTGCACATGTTCAGACATTTGGCTACACAACAGCCACTCGAAACTTTATCTGCCATCAGTGTGATCCACATGCACATATCCAGGAGCATTAATTCCACTTTGTTTTCAGTCTGAAACAAAGGCAATGTCATCCACAGCCTGGTCTCTCATCAAGCGATATTCTACCAACTAAATCAGTCACAGTCTATGACTTTACCGTTCACCCCAAAAAATAGAAAAGAGACATCCAATTGACTAATTTTTTGACCAAAATTCACATCATGCTGTAATACTCTTAGGTGTCATGGACCGAGGGGCATTCAGCTATAGCTTAATGTTTGACTGCAGGATATAAATATATGCCCTTGAAAAACTGTTTCTGGTTTTGCTTTCATTGAACGAGTGTATTGCTGGTTCTCATCTCGCGTAATCTGATAGCATCTCAATGGTGTCCTTAGCTCCTCCTGGGACTGATACCAGCATAAATAGCGATCATAACAACTTTTAGCTATTGAAAACGCATATAACCCTTGGAATTATAAGCACGCAAGATTATCGAGTAGAATATAATTTCATAACAAGTCCTTTCCAAATCATTCCTCCTTTCTCTAGAATCCTGTGGTGTCAACAGAAAGGTGTAGAGCTTTCCAAACCAACATTTCAGTCCTTAAGGTCTTCTCTTACATAGTTTTTCCTTGGTTAGCAGACAAGTTATTTCGCAGATAATTTAGAGGGCTGGCATAAGGTTGATGATCTGGTAAACCTTGCACAAGGTCTTAATGTTAATTATGCTAAATGGTCAACTGCATATTTATGTAAAATAACTTGGACAGTGATCCATAGTGCACTAGTGTCCATGAAAAAGCTTGGAATAGAGATGCAACACAAGAATATGCCATACATGCTCGACCAAAATAAGAACTTTATAAAGTAATGTTCATTGATGTATGAGATAGAACCATATATTACACCTTTTCTTCTGTGACCCACTAAGAATTTAGCTTTTAAGGTGCCTCTGCAAGGAGCATATTGTGGTATACTGCAGTTGTCTGCAGATAAGGAATATAATTTGCCTAAAATGGTCCTATGTAAGTACCAAAGATACACACTTAAACTTTTCAGTGATCAATTAGTTCATTGGTTCTTTGTTTAGAGGAAATGAATACCAATTCTTCCAATCAATTAAAGCTCCTATGCAAAGGAATCTTGTCCACAAAACACAAAAGTAAGTTGGTGCTAATTAATTCTGTTCTTTGTGATACCCACCATATAGAATATTTTTGAAGCTATCACCATGAGTCTCTTGTTAAGAACTTCTAATAACTATTTTACTGAAGCTGTAACAGAATATATTCAAAGCAGGCTGCTTCCGGGTCTAAAATATTCTGCAACAGATTGGTATTTAAAATGCATTTTTATTCTCCTATACCTCACACGATAAGGCATCTCCATCTTTGACATCTTTCATCATATTAAAGGATGTGTCTTGTTGTCCGAAAGAATTATTGCTTTTTAGATTAAGATTAAGTTAAATTTAGAGGCCTGTTCAGTCTTTGGCTAAAAATGAAGATGCACTTGAAATTGATTTGAACAATTTAAAACAGTAGAAGCTTTCGTCATTGAAACCCCATGTAACGTACTAGCTAACTTGAATGAGTAGAACCTGTTAATAAGACCCAAACCACTTAGCACAATTTACTAGTAGGTTCAAAGTATACACCTGGCCCATATTGGAATCGTATAAGACTGATACCATTAAAGATGGTTTACTGGCCCAGTTCAAATCCGGTGGGAGATGAATAGAATCAACCCAAATCACCAAGAGTTTGTCAATTTCAGCCAACGAAGAAAGAAATAAAAACAAGGGAGAGGTAAGAGGCAAAGGACAACAAAAGGGAAACTGAGATAGAGGAAAGACAAGGAGAGAAATGCGACTGTGACAAGGATATGATCGAGATCTTGATACCAATCAGATTGAAGGTGTCACAAGGAGAAGATAAGATAAAGCAAGACTTGTTTAGAAACAAAAAAGAAGAAAAACATAACCCCTTCACCATTGGATGACACACTCTGTAGACACAGTTAACAAGGGCCCTGAAGCATGGTATTTACATCTTTAAGTTGGATTTAAATATTTATGACAAAGCATACCAAAATGTTCTATCTATCATAAATAATAATGTATATTAATATTTCAATTATTTTTTTAATATTTTTTAAGTGTCATACCGGAGTATACCATAACGGTCCAAAAGGGGATCAGCATAGGGTCATGGCATCTAAGATATGTTTCCTCGTTTTTAACTACTAATTTGAAATATACTGATAGCTATTTGGAAGGTATAGATGGAATACTATCAACCTACTCCTATGGGTTTCACATCACACTAGGTACAAGATTCAGAGCACAAAAATTTACGAATTAAAAGCACCAAATGTCCTTAAAATAAGTGAACTACATATTATTATCTAGGCATTCAAACACTGCACCTGACAGATTTTTTTCAAATTTATCTTTATAAATTCTTTAAGCATTTAAAAACTTGATAATAATTGTGAAACTTTATATTTTAAGATATTTGGGAATATTTATAATACTTATGGTGAGAATTTGTTTTTATTGAATGTTGACTTTTGGTGACAATCATGATGGACTTACGCTCTCAAGTATGTTGTTTCACTCAGTTTGTACTGATCATCATGGTATAATTAGTGATATTAAAATAATTATTCATCTCACTTATTATAAGTTACTTTTACATTACCTTAAGTTTTCAAAATTATTGCATTACCAAATAGATTCTTTCTAGAATAATAAGTACAACTCATTGATGACTTATTTTGTTAGTCATTAGCTTCGACTACGTATTCTAAGACACTCAAATAACCTTCAATGGTTTTTTATTGATTATCTACGTCATATCATAATTTCCTTTTCGCTTGAGGATTTGATTTATCAACTTATGTGTTCTATGCTGTATCAGTATCCGACTTTCTCTTGTCTCAGTGCTCCATAGATTATAGACAGGTATATAAGAAATTACACATGAAAGCTATGTAAAGGATCACAATATGAATATGAAAGAATAACTGGAAGATTTAGATACATTGAGAAATAATTGACTGAGGAATAAAACTCTATAACGTAATATAAACGCATTGCAAGGAAGAGACTATTGAATCTAAGATCAATTAGAGAAAGGATGGATGGAACATGTATCCCTTTCCCAAAATCTATATAAAGGCCTATCTGACTATGTCACCAAATGACCAAGTGGATGCATCCATTGCAGTTGGGGTAGCATGTGACACCGCCATTCAGCCTATCAAATAGACCTTTTTCTGTATTTGGCAATCGCAAGTTCCAGTTTAGCCTAATGTTCTCTTTGACCCCTCTAAATCTTTCCATTAGCTTTCCCAAGTGATATATAATATGGACAGATAAGAACATTCAACAGGAACACACATGAACAAACTGTTAAATCATTTTCATTTAGATTATAATATACAATAGACATCTGAAGGAAATTGATCATTGAGCTGTATCATTCTTTAGCTCTCAACTACATTGTTTTTCTTTTACCAAAGATTTCTTGTGTTTTTAAACCTAAATTAATTTGAATGATGCAATTAGGGAAGCCCTGGAAGTTTTTAATGGAAATAGAAGTTTGACATTTGATAGTACAACTATAAACTAACTATCACAAATTATAAAGATCAAATTAACATCACTTACACCATGACAGTCTGACAACTACGGGCTTCCATTACAAAAATTTCCATCCAAGAAACCACCCCCTTCAATGTACATATATTATTTCATCATTCAAATTGCTTTACATGATGTTGCTATTGAAATATGAAGTAGTTGTCTCTAAAACCTCCCAGAAGTCGGTGCATTGTTGCATAATTAATGGGTCTCAGGTTCGAGCCTTATACGTTGTTTGATGTAATATAAATTTCTTTCTAATTTTTTGTGTAAAAAAAAAGAAATATGAAGTTGTTTGAACCAAACATGTGAAATATTGGAGGCTACTTCACTAAATATTTTTAAGCATTAATTGGATCGTATCTATTGGTCCAACCAATCAACAATACCAGGTGACATAGGCAAGTAAACCATGCACTGATCTTTGTAATTTGATTCCTTTTTAAACTCATACAATTTCTTGCAATGTCATGTGATCTTCCAATTTGTAAAATAAGAAAAATATATATATTAGGGGAATATAGTTATAATATTTGTTGCAAATGTTCAACATATTCAGAAGCATTTCCATATAATTATAATATTTGTTGCAAATATTGCATTTTATTAATGAGCAATACGGAAACGATGATTTCTACCTAAAAGCAAAACGGCACCGAAATCGAAGGATTTAGGGGAAAGAATAGATTTCCGCACCTCGCTGCTTTCTTCTACTCACGGCTTTGTCGTTGTTGCTTCTTCCTTCTGCTCTGTACGTGGGCTTTGATGGCAGAACCGAGGAGGTTTCGGCCGATGTCAACGAGGGCGACGGCTGCGCTGACCGCCAGAATCCCTTCTGCTCTCCTCCACTTCGTCACCGCCCGGATCGATCGCTCGAAGGGGAGCAGAGAGGAAGCCGAGAGTCCGAGGAACCGCCGATGGGACTTTGGGGAGGTTCAAAGGTGCGGAGCCAGATCGACCGTTGGATCATGATCGAAGGGCTGGATCTTCCCTCACATCCGTGATGGAAAGACCCGGTTGACACTTGGCATCCAAATTATTTTAGATTTTTCTCGATTTATGTCTCCTTTTTTTTATTTTAGATTATTTTTTTCTATATCTCAAAATATCTTAATAGGATGAATAAAAAGACTTTCATTGATCCCATTACAATATTTCGAATAGAATTATAATCGATCTTATTATAATATTTTAAATAGGATTATAGTATTTTTGACATCTGTATATACTAAACCTATCATCTCGATGAGATTTTAAATAATTTTTTTATTAATTTAAAAAATAAAAAATATATATTTATAGTATTTTTGATATCGGTATATAAATCAGTAGACCAATTCACGACTCTGAGGTTAAGAAAAGCATGAACACTCATGAAAAATATTAAAAAAAAATCAACAAAAAGAAAGATTAAGAGTAAGATGAATAAAAGAAAAATAAAAATTCTAATACTACTAGAAGAATCAAATGTTTTAAATATAATACATGACAATAAATAAAACAAAAACTCCTAATCATACTCCTTTTATATCATGAAAGAGGGGTAGCTTTCCAACTCCATGTGGATTGTTTGCATCAAAATAACTTGGACTAATGGATGCATGTCATTCTTTCTTGGCCATATGTTTGTTTGGTGAAACCTCAACATCCCATTTTCGAGTGATAAGGATTAGCATTCATCACCTCAATGTTTGTATCCATCAAATACTACAAAATCATTTAAGGATCATGCCCCTAAATTGCAATGATTATGATGCATTCGGATCTTACTTTTGAGATGTGAAAACATGTGTTAGCATTAAGGGACACTCTCTAATTTTGATGCATCATGTCCATATATTATTTTCATTACCATATAAGTATACAAGACAGCTAATTAGAGCTAGCTACCTATAGCAATATGTTTATTTCTAAAGAGTTCTAACTAACAATTAAATAATATTTCTTAAACACATCTCAAATTAGAGTTGGATTATCGATGTTCACATAAACTCAATCAATGGATTACTCATCTCAAACTCCTATTATATGAAAAAAAATAAGAAAAATATCTCTGTTATCTAACATTGCAAAACATAGGTTTTGTTGTCACTAAAGTAGGTGGGCCCGGTGGCACTTGTTCTTTTCTTGGAGCTTAATGATGATGTTGGATGGCATGAGTAGAGTAGGGTCCACCGTCATGGTGGGTAGGAAATGTGTTGGTGTGGTACGTGAGATTGGAGCTCCATCGTTTTCCCATGGTGTCTTTTGTTGGACGTCATCCACGTGGAAAATAATGTTGATTATAGCTTGCAATAATATATAAGACAATTTAATTAAATAGATTTTTATGATAATTATTATTATTATTGTTATAGACTTAGATTTGTTATATTTGGATCCCTATTCTCAGTTTAAATCTTAATTAATTGAGCTTGACCCATTGCTTATTTTAAGTTATTTTTATAAAATATTTTCTCCGACGATCTATTATAATAAGTAATAATTATATTAAAGTCATACGAACTAGTCAATCAGAATCGGATTATGATACCTATTTCTCTTTATCCCGAACTATTTTATGTATAAATAAATGATAAATAAAGCACTTGAAGACATGAAATAAATTCATGCTCATGAAGAACAAAAAAAAAAAGGAGTTGAGATTAGGACAACTAATTGATTTCCTTTAGGAAATAATAATACATTGATGCATACATGTTTTGCATACAACATAGGAAGATGGTGAAGATAAGACCATTTTGTAGGGACTCCAGACATCTCAGAATCTATATCGACAACTTAACCATCTCAGAGCTCGATAATGGATTTGTGTTTTGACTGACAAGACATTAACGTGATTGAAACCGGAAGAATCTTCACTGTCCTTGTGGCTTTCTCTATAAAGAGAACCACAGAACGTGTTTCTGATGCATCACCAGCTTAGTTTTCCTCATCCAAGAAGGAAGAGTGGCTCATGGTGTACAAAGTGGAGCAGTGCGGAAGGCTCGGAGCGCAGGAGCTCATGCAGAAGAAGAAGAAGAAGAAGAAGAAGAGGCCACAAGACGGCGAGGCGGAGGCGAGGCTGCAGTGCAACAAGGGGAAGCCTTGCCGGTTCAAGAGGAGCTGCTCCGGCGGGGAGGAGGACGCCGTCTCCTCTGTCATCCTCCTCTTGGCCTGTCTTGTATGTTCTCCTCCTTCCATGAAGCGTAGCATCGATCCACACCATTGTAACACCTGAGTCAATCATCAAGCAAAATGATGAGGAAGAGAAGATGAAGTGGAATATATGCATCTTATGAGAACACAATATGTGAATTAGATGTGGCCACAAATCTATCTCGGTTTATGGATGCCTACTTAGAATATAAATATGAATGGCTGCTGTTCATATTTTAGATGGATATGTTGACATGATTGAGTTCATCCTTGCAGGAACCAATTTTCAAGAAATTTCCATATAATTCGAGTAAAATGAAAGGTTTCGATAAAAATGATAAAATTTTAGGATTTAGTATTTTCAATCTTAAGTGTTCGACACCGAACCCTTCGATACGTATCAAATGATGTACTAGTGTATCATGAGTCGATATACTGATTATTAAGGGTACCTTGCTTGACTATATGATGAGTATACGATAAATTTATGTAACATTTATGGACCTCTAAATGTTTATTGTTTCACTTCATCTATTGCTTTATATAATTATGCATCTCTTTCTTCTATTTGTCAACCAAAAAAAGGAGCAGCTCTTTATGATGCTAATTTGAAGCCTAAAATAATTACTTATATGCATCTATAACTCTTTCTAATGCATTATATAACATGCATAATGGATGTTTACAACATAACTTTAATTCTCTTATATTTTGAGCTATCTTATCTTAGATAGCTTCTGCAAGAAGTCCTTTGAGAAGTGTATGTTTTTTGTATTTATTTTTAGCCCTTGTTTATGCAAATTTTGATTGTGACATTGTTGAATCTTACACCCCTATGATTTTTCTTGCTGTTAAATTCTAATTTGAGTATGACTTATAATCAATCCACTATCAATTTGCTAGTGCTCCTTGCAAGAACCATTGATCAATCACATGGTTTTGAGCTTGAGTTGTGAAAGATATACTCCTATCTAGTTTAGATTATGACTCGGTTCAAATCGAAATGAAAACGGTTTGATGGTTCATCCGTTGACCGATTCGATTCTAGTTTTTTATTTTTAAAAAATAAAATCAATAATTTTGATTTTAAACATGTTAAAAATAGTTTACGAGAGGAAACCTTAGTTTGAGAGTGATATTTTAGTTGAATAAAATATTTATAATTTTTTTTTTCAAATGGGGGTATTTAGTTGGATTAATAATTTTATAATTTTATTTCTTTATATCAGCTTTTTCCCATTATAATTATAAATCTACTATTAAAGTTTTAAAAATAAATAAATATATATATATATAATATTTTTTAATTTTTTAATTAAAAATATTTTAATTAAATCTACTATAATATTTTAATTATTATATTGTATAATTATAAAATATATTATAATATTATAATATTATAAATCTACTATGAAAGTTGCATTACTAGTCTTCCTAGTTTCGTCTCGAGCTCGTGTTCTTGAGACAGCAACCACCAGGCGACGCCCATGGCGGCTCCACGGACGTACCGCCATGTCTCGCGAAGCTTCCTCATCTTCGTTCTCTACCGAGTCATCAAGCGAGACTTTTCGTTGACTGGATTTTGACCTTGGCTGCTGCTCATGTGGCACGTGCTTCACGTTCATGCACCAGCCTGCGAGTCAAGACACGTTGTCGACGGCGTTTACCTGTCACCTCTGGATCTCCATCCTTTACCTGTTTTACTGCAAGCGCAGTGAGTAGACACTACAGCTGTCCCATCGTTCTTGTTTTCTGGTCGGTGTTCTCGACATTACTAGATGCGATGTCCATCTCCTCCGATCTCCCTATCCATTTGAACGGAGTACCCATTTGTCTTCTATACTTCCAGCTGCAGACCTTGTCGAGTTGCCTCTTCCTTTCGTCTATCTCTTCTCCTCTGCTTCAGCGCCCCTTTCATGAGTTCCTCCAAACCTAATCCAGAACTGGAACAGTCTCTGCTGCCCCAAGAAGACGACTGCCTCAGTGGAGATTACTTCTCCATAGCTGGGTTCTGGAGCCGCCTCACCTTTCGGTGGTTGAATCCAGTCTTCGCAAAGGGCCGAGCAGAGAGGCTCGAGCTCCGGCACATTCCCGGCGTTCCTCGATCCGAGACCGCCGAAACCTCCCTCTGCCTTCTGCAAGAATCGCTTCGCCAACAAAAGCTTGAATCAGCTTCGCTTCCTAGAGCCATTATTCGTGCTGTTTGGAGGTCATTAGCCTTGAATGCGGTGTTTGCAGGTGTGCTTTGTGATAACATTCTCTCTGTTCCAAATCCAAACCATGTGTCTGACGGTCTAGAAGATGACGCAGGCCTCAACACCTTGTCTTCCTACCTCGGTCCTTTCCTGATCACCAACTTCGTGGAATTCGTCTCCGGGAAGGATTCCGGTCATGGACGCTACTACGGGTACGTACTGGCTTCTCTGTTCTTCGTCGCGAAGACGGTGGAGTCACTGACCCAACGTCAGTGGTACTTCGGTGCACGTCGAATTGGCATCCGAGTTCGAGCAGCTCTCATGGCTGCCATCTACGAGAAGTGTCTTGCGATCCAGCACTCAGGCAGCAGCACAGGCAAGCTCATCAACTTCCTCGACGTGGACGTGGAAAGAATCGGCGACTTCTTTTGGTACGTGCACGGCATTTGGCTGCTGCCGGTCCAAGTCTCCTTGGCTCTGCTCATCCTTCACAGAAACCTCGGCGCACCAGCCTCCTTCGCGGCGCTCGCCGCCACAGCCCTGGTGATGGTGAGCAACACACCGCTAGCGAACTCGCAAGAGCGGCTCCACTCCAAGATCATGGAAGCGAAGGACGCGAGGATCAAAGCCACCGCAGAGACGCTGAAATGCATGAGGATTCTGAAGCTTCATTCCTGGGAAACAGCCTACTTGAACAAGCTGCTCCAACTCAGAGACGTGGAGAGGAGCTGGCTCAGGAGATATCTCTACACATGCTCTGCCATCGCCTTCCTGTTCTGGGCATCCCCGATCTTGGTTTCAGTCATCTCCTTCGGCGTCTGCATCCTCATGGACACGCCACTGACTGCCGGCGCAGTTCTCTCCGCCCTGGCCACGTTCAGAATCCTACAGGAGCCCATCTACAACCTCCCGGAACTGGTCGCCATGATCACACAAACAAAGGTATCGATCGACAGAATCCATAGCTTGATGAAAGAAGAGGAGCAGAAGCAGTTGAGTCCGAGCCGCAGCACACAGGCCTCGGACATGGCTGTGGAAATCACGCCTGGTGTGTACAGCTGGGAAGCTGACTCGAGCCTGAAGAAGCCGACGCTCAAGATCGAGAACAAGATTCGGATCATGAGAGGAGAAAAGGTGGCGGTGTGCGGGACTGTCGGATCAGGCAAATCCAGTTTCCTTTGCAGCATCATGGGGGAGGTTCCGAGAAGTAGCGGCGGGCGGATGACTGTTCTTGGTGCAACAGCCTACGTTCCACAGAGCGCTTGGATCCAAACTGGGACAGTCCAGGAGAATGTATTGTTTGGGAAGGCGATGGATAGGAGATGGTATCAGGAAGTGGTGGAGGCTTGTGCTTTGGACAGAGACATCGGAATGTGGGGTGACAAGGACCTGACTGTGGTAGGAGAGAGGGGTATGAATCTGAGCGGAGGGCAGAAGCAGAGGATTCAGCTGGCCAGAGCCATCTACAACAATTCAGACATCTATCTCTTGGATGATCCTTTCAGTGCTGTTGATGCACACACTGGCACACACCTCTTCAAGGTATAAGCACTACATTTACCTTTCTTTCAACTCCTTTTGCAGACAGTGTCAATCATGGCTGCTTTGATTTCATGTGTGCAGGAATGTTTGATGAACCTGTTGTCCTGTAAGACTGTCATTTATTGCACTCATCAACTGGAATTCTTACATGCAGCAGATCTTATTCTGGTAAACTTCAATATCTCCAATACTCATTTCAGTTTACTTGTGAAGCATTTGCTTCTTATCAGGATGTGTCGAACAGAGCATAGAGCAGAAAAAGATTGGCTACTGATCTCATGTCTGAAGACAAAAATCTTACCAAAATTTTCAGGTAATGAGAGATGGAAAGGTGGTTCAATCTGGCAAGTACGAAGAACTGATGGAGGACGCTAGTGGGGAGCTTGTGCAGCAAATGGCTGCATATGATCAGTCTCTATGCCAAGTCAATCCGTCAAAAGAGAAGGATTTATCGATGAGCACACGACACAGGATGAAGCAAAAGGATCTTAGAGAACTAGAACACTATGATCAAATCGGAATCTCCGAACTGTCAGAGAGATCATGCGAAGAAGAAAGGGAATCCGGACAGGTGAAATGGCATGTCTACCACACCTTTGTGACTTCAGCCTACAAAGGAGCTCTTGTTCCGGTGCTACTGCTCTGCCAAGTTCTCTTCCAGGGTCTCCAGATGAGCAGCAACTACTGGATTGCCTGGGCAACCGAGAAGGAGGATCGAGTGAGCCGAGAAAATTTGATTGGAGTTTTCATCCTACTATCTGCCAGTAGCTCAGTGTTCGTATTGGGAAGAGCGGTTTTGCTCACGACGATCGCGATCAAAACAGCTCAAAAGCTTTTTCTTGGAATGGTGACAAGCATTACGAGAGCACCAATGTCGTTTTTCGACTCAACACCTTCCAGTAGAATCCTCAACAGGGTCAGTTCTTCACCTTAGTTCGTATAAAAGCTCAGCAGTTTCGATCCGACAATTGTTCTTTTTGCAGTCATCAACAGACCAAAGCATTGTGGACACAGACATTCCATACAGATTAGCAGGATTGGCTTTTGCACTTGTTCAGCTCCTGTGTATCGTTGTTCTCATGTCTCAAGTGGCCTGGCCAGTGTTCATCCTCTTCATCGTCACAGTTGCAGTCTCCGTCTGGTATCAGGTAGGCCAAACAAAGTTCTTGTGAATCTCGTAGCGTCAACATCCACAAAAGCTGTTTGGTTTCTGCAGAATTACTACGTCAGTTCTGCAAGAGAACTAGCAAGAATGGTGGGAATCCGAAAAGCTCCCATCCTCCACCATTTCTCGGAATCACTTGCGGGAGCCATCACCATCCGCTGCTTCAACCAGCAGAGGCGCTTCTCCAAGAAGAACCTCTCCTTGATCGATGACTACTCCCGAATCACCTTCCACAACTCTGCAACCATGGAGTGGCTGTCGGTTCGAATCAACTTCCTCTTCAACCTCAAGTTCTTTGCCATGTTAACCATCCTAGTCTCCATGCCGAGGAATGCCATCGATCCAAGTAAGCTCTTCTCGATCATTTCGATCGCAATGGTGGATGCCATCATGGCTGACTTGAGATTCTGTCCCAGGCCTTGCGGGACTAGCCGCGACGTACGGATTGAACCTAAGTGTGCTGCAGGCGTGGGTTATATGGAACCTCTGCAACGTAGAGAACAAGATGATCTCGGTGGAGAGGATTCTGCGGTTCTCAGGCATACCCAGCGAGGCACCTCTGGTGATCGAGGATTGCAGACCAGAACAAGGTTGGCCTACGTCTGGAACCATCGAGCTCCACAATCTCCATGTCCGATACGGCCCTGCTCTTCCCATGATCTTGAAGGGTGTCAGCTGCAGCTTCCCTGGAGGGAAGAGGGTTGGAGTTGTGGGCAGGACAGGAAGTGGCAAGTCCACACTCATCCAATCTCTGTTCAGAGTGGTAGAACCATCACCGGGGAAGATCGTGATCGATGGCGTAGATATTAGTCGGATCGGACTGCATGACTTGAGATCCAAACTGAGCATAATACCACAAGATCCAACACTTTTCCAAGGAACAGTGAGGACAAACTTGGATCCCCTGCAGCAGCATTCCGACCTGGAAATCTGGGAGGTAAAGAGACGCGATCTTTTGCTCTGCTACTCTCCATGGAGTTGACTGAAGTTTATCCTACAGGCACTCTACAAATGCCAGCTTGGAGAGGTGGTGAAACAAGACCAGAGGCTGCTCGATGCACCAGGTAGGCTCGAGTCTTTAGCAGCAGCAGAAAACAGAGTACAAATTTGAGGTCTGGTTTCTTCGATTTCCAGTTGCAGAAGATGGGGAGAACTGGAGTGTAGGGCAGAGGCAGCTGGTTTGCCTGGCGCGAGTGTTGCTGAAGAGGAGGAGGATACTGGTGCTGGATGAGGCCACAGCTTCGGTAGACACCGCAACAGATAACTTTGCGCAGAAGACCATAAGAGAGGAGACCGGTGACTGCACTGTCATCACAGTGGCACACCGAATACCCACCGTCATCGACAGTGATCTCGTCCTGGTGCTTGACGAAGGTACAAAGACAAGTCTCTTAGGTACTCATTGGATTCTGTGGGTAATGCTTCTGGTGGATGCAGGGAAGATAGTGGAGTTCAGTTCCCCTCAGAAACTTATGAGAGATGAATCATCAGCTTTCTCAAGGTTGGTGATGGAGTTCCTGGGGAGATCTAACAGTGATCACCATGACTTCCTACTTGAATGAGAGGGACTGTGGCTTGATAAGTAGACCCAGTCATCTAACCACATGAGGGTTGACAATACCACCAAAGTCAATTGCTTTGAAGACCAGCAAAGTCATGAGGTTATTATTGGACTTGGTGATTTGATCAATCATTGACTCATCAACTCTTATATATATATATATATATATATATATATATATATATATATATATATGGGTGACTTTCCTAGAAAATCCTCATATTTTGAGTATTTACCAAAAGATACCCTCTTTTTTGGTTTTTTTGTCAAACAATACGTTTAATTTAAGAAATTATCTAAAATACCTCTCAAAGTTTGAGCATTTGATATTTTTTAGAATTATTCACCTTATGCACATTGTGTTATTTTCTATTTGCCAAAGTTTTTTTTCAAATTTCTACAATAATATTATGTACTCATGCAAGTTTTTTTGACATTTGATTTTCTAATTAGGTCTCAAACATATGGTAAAATTTTGGCCATCAAAAAGATTTACTAATATGTGATGTAATATTTTTGACCAAAATCTAAAAATATTATGGCATAGTAGGACTTGTCAAAGAACTGTGAAAGTTTTTGGATGCTATTTAATGATATTTGGATGAACATATGTCAGTGTTTTTCTATTTTAGAATTTTTTTATTATTTTTTTAATTTATTCATGTCATTTTATAATTTATAAATATATTTTTTAAATCCTAAACACCTGATAAAAATTTGGCAATAACAATATGCGATATATCATTTTTAGCCCAAATCCAAAAATAGTATATTGCATAGCATGACTTATCAAAATGCCACCAAATTTTTACGATACCTTTGAATTAGATCCAATATTAGAAAAGCATTTTATATTTTAGAATTTTTTTTTTATATTTTTCATAATTATTTAGGTCCTCCACAGTGTGCCATTTTCTAATTTTTATTTTTTTATTTTTAAAAAATATCATGCATGTATGCATTTTTTTATATTTGACATTATAATTAAATCTTAAACACCTGATAAAAATTTGGCCATGAAAAAAGCTTCACTAAAATACGATAAACTATTTTTGGCCTAAATAAAAAAATAGTACATCGCATAATAGAACATAAAGTTTTATGATATCTTTCAATTAGATCCATATAGATATATGTTAGTGTATTTTTTATTTTAATTTTTTTGATATTTTCAAGAATTATTTAAATAATGCATAATGTGTTATTTTTTTAAATTTTAAATATTTTTTTTTTCCAAAATATCATATACTCATGCAATGGTTTGTGACATTTGACCTTCTAGTTATGTCCCAAACACTTAATAAAAATTTAAGTATCAATTTTTTTTATTAACATATAATGTATTAATTTTAGTAAAAAAAGAGTAAACAATAACAAAGATATATGTCATGTTTTTTTGACAAACTTATGTTTTATCATATGAAAACCCTTGATATATAATGCTTCTTGACAAACTCACATATTTAATAATAATAATAAACATCAAACATGGGATGATGTTTTAAATACCATACTATTCATGAAAATCCTATATATATATATATATATATATATATATAT